GTTATTTAGCACCATTTGTATTCCGTTAGCCCATGTGGTGCTAAAAATTAAGCACCCCAGACAAATTTTCTATAGGGTGGCATATGACAAACTGAAAAATTGCGAAAAGTTTGGCATGTTCCTAGTTGGACAAAACGGAGTTTTTTTAGATCCCACCACCCAAGTTTAAAGATAAACCAAATCGCTCGAAACGGTTTCTTAATTTTTCGGCAATCTCTTCTATTTACAGAGTGGCCTCAAAAAATCAACTTTCTGGTCTTCCAGCGATAACTTTTCTGCCTTTAGTTCGATTTTAATGATCCAAGGCTCTTGTTGAAGCTAAAACTTCATAGAGAATTAAGGAAATTCGATATACAAGATTTCATAAAAAATGCCCCCGAAATCTGTGATTCTCGAAGATTTTAAACTAAGTGAAGTTCACTTTCAGATATTTCGTTTATTCATGCAATCTCTCGTTTTACCTTCAACATGAGCCTTAAATTTTGCTAATCGGTTCAAAAGAAAAAATATCATTGCAATTCCAAAAAGTGGATTTTTTAAAGACTACTTTGTAAATCAACAAGATAAGCGAAAAATTCCAAAACTTTCGAGATACGAGCTCTCAAGTAAAGTAACGACACGAACGAAAAGGAAAAAGTAAAATCTTAATGCTTGTGTGCTTGTGTTGGAATACAAAAAGACTTCCACAAATTGTGCATTGTTTCAGTTGCCACCCAGTAGAAACTATCTGTACCAATTTTTTTCAAAAACACCTACTAACCGAAAAATAACTGCACCAAATAACGCTTCAAACAGCGATCAGAATTTTCCAGTTCCAAAATGAGTCGAAATTTGTCCGTGTAACGTTTACTTTGTTTTCCCTTTTTTGATCTTAAAACCCGAAAAACTTCCCAGTTTTAAACAATGGCCACAAAAGCCTAACTTTTGCAGATGTATATTGAAACTGGTAAGTTTTTCGGGCTTCGGCAGTCGTGCGAAATAATTTCTTCCTGATGTTTGGCAAGCGCAAGTGGCGAGCATCTTCAGAAGTGGTTGCTGGGCCAAACAAACCAGCTCTAAAGAATACGAAATCGTTCTCACAACGAAATAAAATCCTGAAAACTGACGGGTTTTTTTTAAGTAAAGTCGATTTTAATGAAATAATCAGCCGTATTCTTTGGTTGAAAAGTCAAGCTGACCGAGAAAAGAAATTAAACCTAATTGACAATAAATTAGAAAAAGCTTTAATAGTTGTTAGGACTGCCAGTTTAATACACAATTTGTTTCTCGATAAGTTTTTAATTTGGTGAGTGATTTTGTGGTTGCTTAACAGAAATGGTGTCATTGACATTAAACAAGCGAAACAGGTCATTAGAATCCATTAAAGATTATTAGTAATTTGTATGCAGTTTTTGTGATAATAATCATCTGGGCGCTCTGGGCAAATGAAGTTGAACTCCACGTTAAAATCGACAATATTTTATCAATTCCAAAGTCCAAATTTGTGGCAACTGCTCATGGAGAATGCATTTCAAGTCTTAAATGAAAAAACGAATTAGTTAATTGGCTACCAATTTATGCAACGTAATGTTTAATTGATTGAAATATTAATGTTATCTGTAAAAGTGTGACTTTCTCACACAATGGCTTCAATTAATAATTGATTGTTATATAATTGCCAACTGCAATCTCGTGGAGAACTGCGCCGCAACGAAAACGATCATTCCTTACGCATTACTGATTAAGAGCAATTGTTTGAAAACTTTTAAAAGCGATAATTCGTAACAAGAAACACTTTCAGCGTTTCCTTATCTAAAGTCTAAAAGGTCCAGTTAATGGAAACAAAAGGCAGTCAATCCTACAGTTACACCACACGATGGAGAATCATGTATCAAAGTCCACTTTCGCAGCGTGAAAAAATATATTTTGTTTTCATTCTACAGGAACATCATTTTTCATCAAATTTTATATAATCGTCTACTGGAACCGCTCAGATGATATGTTAATATTTAATTATAAAAAAAGTAATCTAATAACGTAAACATTATGAACCGACGCGTCCTGTATGCCGAATTGTTGAATGAACTCTAATGAAATTTCAGCCGCTTGATATCTAAGACATTCATGGGAATTAACTTAATTAGGAGTAATTAAATTATTTATCCAGGTGGCGACAGAAGTCTGTTGTAATAATGGGGCATTCTGCGTTTGATCGAGTGTCATATGAAATTTTAAATAAATATCCAAATACAGGAGTCCACAAAGCGGATAATTTTTCCTGAATTTTTAATTTGATTGATGATTTCACTTTCCAAGTCTTCCTAATCAAAGTCAGACATAAAACCGCTCACCATCAAAAGGCAAAACGGTTATTTAAATTAACTATATATTTATGGCACGTTCGTTATTTACTTGCGGCTTTTAGGACTTGAGCGCTTTAATTGGTAACATTTTGAGCAAAATATTTAATAATTCATAAGAACGTAAGAATAATTTTGTTTTTGGTGCATGGGATTTCCAATGAGAACATCAAACGCGCAAATGTACTATGGACTACCTATGTTCTGGTGCATATGTTTACGATAAAGTGTCTAAGAGATTGGAATATTAGAAAAAATGAGGCAGAAACCAATTAAAAATGTTTAAATTAATGTGGAGGGTTTGAAAATAGTTTATTAACTGATTACACAGGCATAAATGCGTGATTCTGTGAGTCCTTATCACCTGGGCTTAGCTTACAAATGAAACATTAAAAAGCGTATACTTTTACCCATCTAAAGTAGTTACTTTGAAGTTGCTATTAGGGATGTATAGCCGGAAGCCAACCGGAGTTCCGGTAGGTTGATCGAACGGTATCGCCGGAATACGGGCCGGATTTAAACCTCTTTGGGAATATTACAGTAGTTCTTTTTAGTACCTGGTTTGATATTCAGAGCATTGGAACTTTACTTGATAAACTTGAAAAAATTTGATAAAAACTGTTTTCCATCATCCAGTTATCTCTGATATAAAACACTGTTTTGCATACATGATTAAAATATCCTGATTATCGCGGTGTTATTGGGAAAATCGAGAATAAATAATTTTAAAATGGAGAAAATGTTTATTTATTCATCTCCATTTACACAAAATGACTTACTTATACAATATTATGATGTTATTCGACAGTTTTAAATGTTTGTGCAAAAATACTGAATTTTTAGCTGCCAAAACGCATTCGATTAATGAAGCTTGAAAGGACTTTTTGAACATTTCATCTCTACTTAGGTATTTTATACTAAATAGTGATTGAATGGAAAGTGTCCATAGAACGTGTTATCGAGTATTTCGTGTAAAACATAGGATTTAAAATAATCACAATAAATGCGAAATGTCGGATGATTTTTTAAAACCTGTACGAAAAATTGAAGTCTTTCTAGCCGGCGGCCTAAATAAAAAATCTATAGCAATTATAACTCTAAAGTGAATAATTTAGAATCTTTGCACAAGAAGTAGGAACATGTTTGCTAAAAACTGAGAAAAATTGATAAGAATCCCAGGGTTGGCTGATTTTTTAAAATCCACTGGACTTGAACATGCATGTCAAGAATATCTCTAACATGTGTGGAGCTAAACATAAAATCTGAACCTCCAACACATGGAAAGAATCAACTCGATATTTTGGCACAGTGAAGCGCAAGGTTTGGCCCATAATCTGACCGATTATGAAGAGAATCAGGCTGTTGGCTGATTTGTCAGAAGTCCTTAAAGTTGGACAAAAACTTTTTTTTTCGATCTGCGCTCTAAATGGACAATCGGTAGGTCTTAAAACTCTAAAGTGAATAATTTGAAATGTTTGCACAAAAGGCGGGGAGATGTACAGAAACTTAGAAAATTTTGTAAGAATCCGAAGGTGCTCAACAAAAAATCGAAATTTTGAAACCAGGGAAATAATTAACTTGAGATTTTGGCACAGTGAAGAGGACGGTTCTGGGCCATAAATCTGAGCGACTATGAAGAGAATCGGAAAGTTGGCTGATTTTTGAGAAACCGTTGGACTTGGACGTAAAATTGACTATTTTTTCTAGCTTACTGTAGAGTTCGCTCTTAAACTTTAGTATGAATGACTTAAAGGAGAATTTTTGATTTTTTCAAAAGCTACAACTTTGAATAGAGGGGCTATTTTGAAAAATTAAAAAAAAAATCAAATGCAAATGCATTTTAGTCAAGAATGTTTGTCTAAAAGGTATATAATTTTGCCTGCGTACATTATGCAAGAAACTATCGTTTACTAATTGCGATTGCTGTTAGTATCTGTTTAAATCCTATCTGTAGGTATCATGAAGCAGTTGCACAAAATTATATAGCTCGACGTAGCAATTAAATTTAAATTTGTCTACGAAATTTTTAATAATAGCTGTCTAAAGAAATACATTCATTTGGTGTTTCCACATGTTTCGCAGTCAGAAAGCAAAAAAAAACAAAGAGAATATTGACCCAGTTTTGTTGCACATTATCCTTCTACTTTTTCTGTACTGTTGTGTAAAATCTAATCTCTGTTTTTACTTTTATTTCGAAATCTCCAGCGAGATGCCAAACCTGAATTTAGTTCGCTTAGAAATCTGAATAGTCAGCTTGGTATTTTTGTGTTTGGATACGAGGGAGCCAACATTTATACTCAATTGACCAAGAGCAAATTTTTGTGGGAGCATTCGCGTATTATGCAAGCAGGAACATTTGAAAGTTTGTTCAGGAATGCATTATATTGCATTCGACTGCTGATAATTGTTTATTAATTATTAAATCTCTCACAAATAATTGTTTAAATTGTTTCACAAACATTTGTAGGTGACAGAAATCATTATATTCCGCGAATTTTTACAGCAGTATCCTAGACAAGTATTTCGATATTTTGAACGACCCAAACCCCCACATTCGAAGTCTCTTTACGAAACTTGCTAGAGTGAAATTCAGGTGCTTTCAACGTTACTGGAAGCAAATAAAGTGCAATAATTTTCACTAAATAATATCCTTATTCTTAGGTGGTCCTCTTCCAAAAACGAATTTCGCCATGTACTCAGAAGAACACGATTCTCACGGCCTACTAACCCTCCACTACGGCAAACACCATGCTACCATAGTCGATGAGATCAAAACTTGTTTCGCCTCAGAAAACTACGCCGATATGACGTTTATTTGCGACGACAAGAGCACTCTGAGCGCTCATAAACTCATTATGGCAACTGCCAGTCCGTTAGTGCGCAGGATTCTCGGCGAGAGTGTGCACGCGCACGGCCCAAGCGTAGTTTTGCTGCCTGGGATCAAAAGCTGTCATCTCAAACATCTGCTGGATTTCCTTTACAATGGGCAAGCCTGCATTAAGGTATTTATGACATTTTAACAACACAAATTGACTTTCATTCAAATTGCCAGCTAAAGTTTCTCATAGGTGGTTTCTGTCAAAGGTACATTTTAGACAATTGCAATGTTGTCAGTGTTGTCATACTGAGCATATGACATTTGACAAGGCCATTACTAACTCGGTATATTCCTTTGACATTTTCAGTCGAGTGAGCTGGAGAGCATTCAAGAATTATTCGAGCTGCTTCAAATTAAATCGGACGTATGGCAGTCTTCAAATTCTGAAGAGGCCAAAAGCCAGTCCGATGATGGCGGTAGCAGCTGGGAGCGCGATAACGAAACGTCCGACGCCGTTCAGATTAAACGTGAAACGGATGACGATGAAAAGGAGGAAGGCGAAATCAAAGACGATGAAGACGACCCTGCGGAGGACACATCTTCTCAGGATCAAAGCAATGGATCTCCGAACCCTGTGAATTTATCAATTAGTACTAAGAATGCCGAGAAAGATGATGGGGCAGGCGAACGGGAAAATAACTCAGAGGTAAAGTACTGAACAGTTGTTATTGTAATGGAAGTGTTAGGGCCACTTGATTTTCCTCCATTTTTTTGCACTGCTTAGTTTGGAAATTCGCAAATATTATACTATTAAGGGCATCGCTACAAATATACATCATGTTAAAGTTTTAGTAATAAACATACAGATGTATTAATAGACAGATATGGACCACACATTGCAACTGTGCCACTAATAATGCGCCGTCTTATTCACATATGCGCATTTAATTTTTAGTAAGGCCTGCCACTAATAAGGTTTGTGCACTCTACGCTCGGCACAATTTGATCCTTATTTAACTTGGGTTGATTCCGTGCCACCTTCGTGTATCCACGGTTCTCAAACATTCACTTAAAAAAATATGTATGTCCAAGATACAGTAAACAGTGACACATTTTATGTGTAAATTATTTGAAAAAACCTCTTGAAGTTTCTCAGAATACTTTTGAATCACCCTGTATACTTCATACGGTGACTACTGGTACAAAAAATTTAAAAACTGCATGCGAGTGTTATTATAAGTATAATAAAAACAAAAATTGTCATAATTTCCTAGTCAACTGTCGTCAATTGCAGCGCGAATTATTTGAATTTTAATTATGCTGACATTGATAAAGCGAAGTGAGCTGATAACAATTTGAACTAACACGCCACTAATAAAATAAAAGACTTCTATTTGATGAAAATAAACAGATTGAAGAAGATGAGAAACGATCTTTTGCCTGATCTTCTGCATTGGTAGGCATCAGGGTAATGAATATTTAGCAGCCAAAGAGTAAAGCACTAATACATTGTGTAGCAGGGCTTTACTAATTTATTATCCGATGTGGAATTGTTGTTTAAACCGAATTGGTTTGATGGGTGTTCTGTTTGTTTCAGAGAGGTGATCAGAAAAACTTAGATACGCTAAAGATAGGGCAAACATCTGTGAAGATCGCGCCGAAAGTGCATGAGTTTTCGCAGTTTCATCGGATGAAACGTAAGAGCTTAATGTACACAGAGCCGATAGACTTGAAGCATCAAGAAGATTATTCGCAAATCAAGCCGCCCATAGCCGACCCAAAGTTGATGTCGCTAGTGCCAAGTCCCGATAACTACGTGGTAACGCCTCATCGGAAAAGACGTCCTGGTTTCCATAACTCTCCAGCACAAAACCCGCCGTTTGTACCGTTTTCGCCATCCTACATAGAGGATGCAGGTCATCACACGAGTCATCGATATAAAAATCTTCCCCCCATATTAGCAGCTCATCATCCTTTGTCGTTATCGGCTCCTCCGTTTTTAGTTGATCGGACTCACACTCCTACTCCTGGAACACACCCTGATACTTCCTCGGCTCCTGAAAGTGTAGTGGTGAAATACAGACCGCCCAGTGCAGATCAGGGACTCGTGTCGGAAGCGTATCAGTCATTTGAGCATACTTGGGGTGCCTGGACTTTGTGCCAAACTGCAGTGAACCCATCGCAAAGTAACGACGAACCCCGTGAACCTCCTCCTGGATATTCCTCTAATCCTGGAGCTGAAGACAGTGCAGAGACTTCGCAACAAGCAACTGGAAGCAAACAGAGTTTGCCAGCCGTTCAAGTGCGCGAGTATAGGTGTGAGTACTGCGGTAAACAGTTCGGGATGTCCTGGAATTTGAAAACTCATTTGCGTGTTCACACTGGCGAAAAACCGTTTGCTTGCAGACTTTGTGTAGCTATGTTCAAGCAGAAAGCCCATTTACTAAAACACTTGTGCTCTGTGCATAGAAATGTTATTTCTTCGACCGATGGCAATGCTGGACGATTTAACTGCTGTTTTTGTACTTTGTCGTTCGACTCGTTGCCCGAACTTATCAGACATTTATCTGGACCCCACAATAATTTACTTTTGAGTAAAAACATGCACGAGCTTAAATAGTATTTACATTCCATTTCACTGGAGTCGTACAATGGTTGCCTAGAACGACTCCAATCCGAATTTGTGATATGCTGATTAGCTGATTTTAACTCGATCATTTTTGATGGGCAGGTTGAATTATCAAAGTCAGTTTTATTAGTAAATTGATTTTTCTAAGGGCACAACGCCTAATTAGCGAAATACATCTATTTCGTATATCTTGGAAATCAAGGAGTGCCTTATTATAAGCAAGCTATTCCATTCTTTGTTCATTTCTGTCCAAATTTGAACTTTTTAGGTAGTTAGTCGTCTATTTTTAACGACGTTGATCGCCCAGCTTATTTTGAACTTATGTATTGTATTCACGATCTAATAAAATAATTTATTCCAACGTCAATACGAAAGAACCTAAAAAACCAACATGTATTAACAACTATGCAACTGGTGAGTTTTTCGGACTTTCACACCATCGTAGAATATAACTTCGTCCTGACCCGAAAAGTAATCAACAGCCGCTAAATCCTAACTCTATTGCTACTAACAACTAAAATTGTCGGAAATCTTTCAGATAGCAAATTCTACAAACCTACAGGTAAATTGATTTTTGTCAGTAAGCTAGCTGGGTGCATTATTATTTAAAACTCATATTTAGTTGCCTTTTGTTAGAAAGGCGTGTCGGTTACGAAAAACCAAGTTGTCCAGTTCAACTGTTGACCACATTATTTTTTTTTATTGATTAGACGTAATTCCAACCGATGTGTTCAATTTGACTTTACGTACCTAAACTGCGCGTGGTGTGTATGACAAGTGATTTGAAATTTTCGGCTGGCCCGATTTTCGCAGGAAAAAAACATTTATATTGCAAAAAAATATTTCTATTATAATCCAATGTTATATACATCACAAGTAGATGATTTATTATACAGTAACTAAAATTGCTTCGGATTACGCGCTAGCATTATTTAACTTGAAAAATCCGAAATGTGGATATTTAGTTTGTTTTTATCAAAAATTCGTTTTTAAACCAACATTCCGTTAAATTTGTGGCGCAAGTTTTCGTTTTATTATCCTGGATATCCCCAAGAAAGCATTTTTAGTTGTTGTATGTAAAAATTTGTATATAACAAGCTTATAGTTTTTACTACAAAACTGGAATGTACGATCGTATATTTTTTTAATATACACACCAAAGAAGTAAATTGTAAGAATTACAATAAATCTATCTACTTAATTAACTTATACACCTCTCTATTCTTTCTAATGAGCTCTCGGCAGCATGAAACAGTTAAATAGAAACTTAAAAAAAATTAAAACACTGCATATACGTAATGTCCTGAACATCTACGTTACTATGCCTGTCTCAAAAACAATTCTACTTCTCCAATAAACAGAATGATAAACCATCACAAAAGTTAAGTTTTATATATAGAAAAGTATCAAATCGAGTGGTGTTACTTGGGTGTGTAGTTTTTAGCTGTGAGATGTTGGAATTATCTTTGTATAAAATCCAGTAAATCAAGTAAAAACGCGTTAAATTATTTTGATATCTACCTCTTTGTGTAAATTTAGGAATTCACCTTGTATTTTTAAATGTTAGCAAATTTAAAAGCTGAAACGGAGAAGAGTTATTTTGCGATTTTCGAATTAATGTAGCTTTACTGGAATTGAGCGCACATTTTGATAACTTTGCTATGTAAGGCAAGTTTTTGCCTAGAAAAGTGGTACAAATGTGGTAACTTAGTATTCTCTTTAGCTTTGTAAAGATAGCTTGTAAATACTTCAATTATAAGATAAATAAAGTTATAGTATTGCCCGTCATTTCATTAAAAATCCCTCACCTAATGCTCCTCTGGTTTTATTTCTACCTACATTCAATTCCAAAATACCTTGCGTTTCACTTTGCAATATTTCCAAATTTACTTCAGGTTTTTCTGCTAATTTCAATTCAAAAAATTATAAATTTTAGCAAGGTTGAAAGAGGTTGTTTTTCTTAACTTAAGCGCATTCAAGCAGTCACAATTTACTTGTCAGGAATAAAAACTACTTACCTGCGTTTTTCAGCTTCCCAAACACAAAACACTGAATTTGCACACACATTGTGAATGTCAAACCCCAAAGTGAAGACAAACTCCATGATTCATACAGTAACAATATAAATATTCCGGCCAAAACTGAGATTTCGCCCTTTTTTATTAAACAATTTTACTTGGATTGGTCAAACTTGGTTGATTAAAACAGCAAACAAATTATTTTAAAACGGATAATCATTTACCTTCCTAAATAGTATGAAACTTTGGCGAAACTATCTGTCTTTTACATAATTCGTGCAATTTTTTGAAAACCTACTGCAAAAAATACAAACATAAACTTGGAATTGGTGAAAAAATGGAATGGCTGCGCTGCCAAAACAAGTTCTTCACGTGCTCTGAAAATCCTTTTCAATATCATCCAGTTCTTTCTTGATCTCCAAGTCCTGATATAAAGGACTGTCTACTTTGCCCAGGAACAGAATGGTGCCACTATTGTCATCTTGGATGAAAAATATGAAAGGATGAGTGGCATTGAACACGTTCTCTGGGACCCCGATTTTGTTGCCGATTATTACGTCTGAAACAAAGTTTCAGCAACTCAATTATCAACCATCAACTGGGTATATTTACGAACCCGTTGCTGCAAATGCTACAGTTCCTTCCTCATCCACATCGATGCCTGCAGACTGCAATATATCGGACACAACCAGCTCTCTTAGCAGTTTGCTGTTGCCTTCAGCAATGCCAGTGAAACTTGCAGAGTTTTGGAATATCTTGGTCAGTCCAAACTAAAACAGCAACTCATCAAACTGCCCGTTTTCAAAAATCGCTCATTTACCTCTTGTAAAACACCCTTGTAACTTGCTTTCAGTTTAAAGGAGAACTTGGGGATTGAAACCAAAACCGCTCGCCTATCCAGATAGTGAAGCTCTCGATGAAGGTTTAAAAGATTCACTTTTTCCAGAAGAGCTGGCAGGCCTCCTTGAGCGAACGGCAGGATGAGGAACATTGAAAACCTGTTTCCCTGCATGCAGTTAAAGAAAACGGCTTAAATCTGCAAACAAAATGTTGGACGTTGCTCTTACCTTGTATGGTAGGCGCAAAATCTTGGCTTCCAACACCTGGGACTCCAGGAAGTAAAACAAATTCGTTGTGGTCATAAAAGGAACATAAATCTTAGTCCCAGGATTAGTATAGAAGCCGCCAACGCAAGTTTCATTCTTAGGGAATGGATACCTCCAAACGCCTTTGAAATGGATTGCATTGGCCAGCAGCATGATCATGTCTCGAACATCATCTGTGAAGTAAGAACCGCAATGGAAAAACAATTTGATTTTTTAAATTTTTACCAACCAGGTTCAGTCAGTCGCTTTATGGCACCTTGTGTATACTCTGAGGCCCATGCATTGATAGTGGCACTAGTCGCCTCCGTGTCGGTAAAATTCGAAGGAAACACATCAGTATTGTAGTTATCCTTGATTTTTTTCGCATATATGTCCTTAATTCGGATCTTCGAGTCCAGAAATATTCTAGTACTTAAACTCAGTCTGTTTTCACTTGTGGGGCTCACCTGGCAAATAATGTGGCTCATCAATAACCATCCAAGGTTGATTCGATCAGGAGAGTGAAGAAGCGCATAGGAAATTCACATTAGGCTCTAACTTAATTGTTAAAACATTTGAAGTAATGGAAGAAAAAGATGATAGTTAGAAGGTTTAAGGCGCCAGAAATTATTTAAGGTAAGCAAGTGGCAGACCTGGAAACGTATAAAGGTGTAGGATTCGATAGACACTCAAAACGAAATGAATGATTGATTTTCAAAAGTTCCTGTAAAGAGATTATTTTCGTCTTTTAAATGCCTTTTAAAGTCCTCAAGATTAACGGGCTACAATTTAATTTTGATGGCCAAAACTCGATTTAGCTCATACAAAATTAATTTTTCAAGGATTTTAAACTTAAAATTGTGAAAAAATCGATTTTGCTGTTTAAAGGTAACTCTAAGATACCCTTTGGACTTTCTGCAATGTTAGAGAGTACAGGAAAACAGAAAACACTTTTACGAGCTAAAACTCACTGATTTTAAACTCTAAAAGTTTAAGAGAATTTTTTTTTCTTCTTCGACCCCACATTTTCATTATAGCGAAATTTTCGCAATCCTAAGGAGCTACAGACCGATACATCTAGAAAGACTTGAAAAACTTAAAAGATTCTCGCCGCAAACAAGCCAAGTGTTTTACTGATTCTTTTGCGTCAAAAACGAAATGAAAAGAAAAAGTTTTCTCTCAACGTCACTTTTAAACCGCCAAAAATATCAATTTAAGAGAGACGAGAAGCGATTCATCCAGAGAGTTTTAGAAGTTAAAACCCGAAACACTTTGGATTTAATCGAGTGCAAACTTTCACCGATGTTTAATTTTTCAAGAGAAAAAAGGTTTGTGTGTCTGAAGCAATCAAAGTCCTGAAGATAACACAGCCGTGGTCCAATTCATCCAGATCGTTTTAGATTGAAACTCCAAAATCTTTGACTCAAAACAAGCTAAAATTGTCGCCGATTTAAACTTTGCAAAAAAAGGAGAAATTTTATGTGCGTCAAATCAAATGTATTTTCAATCTTTCGGAAATTCTTCAAGGTCCGAGAGCTCCGGTTCGATTCATCCTTGTAGTTTGAGAGTTTAAAAGCCGAAACACTCTTTGATTCAAAACGAGTCCAGGCAAGATGTTTAATTTTGAAAGAAACGTAAAGTTTTTGTCCTTCAAACGTAATTTCAATCTGCCAGAAATCCGACAAGTTAAGAGAAAAACTCTTTGGCTCAAAAGCAGCTGTCTTTAATGCCGATTAAATAAGTAATACTTACTTACATGCAGGGCGTCGATTGTTCTTCGTGTCTTTTCCCGGATGCTTTTTTTCGTGATATATTGCAAAGTGTCCTCAAAATTGTTCTGCGTAGCACCACTGGACGCTTCATACAGTATTGACAAAACCAGCTGTAGACTAGCAGGGGAAAATAAAATGTTTGGAGATTTCCTGGAGAGGACCTGGAAATTTGTTTGTTTGGAATTAGTCAATCTATTCGAAAAAGTGGCCAAATTTACTGTTAAAAGTTTCCAGTCGAACACGTCGGACCATTCTAGAGTCGGATAAAATGGATCGTCGCTACCAAATTCTTCAGTGGTACTCTCGTTTTGCTGTGGCTCTACAACGCTGATTGCTAAAACTTAAAAAAATCTTCTAGATTTTAAATTGTGCGTTTTTTGCGCAAACTGTTTGTTAATAAGGCCCTGCTTTTCAGACAGAAATCTTCATTAACTATCGCTCATTAGATTAACAATTTAAATAAAAGTAATTTTAAATTGAAGTTGAAATTTTTTTGACCGATTACATCATGCCCAATTCAGGACACCGCCATGGGAATATTTCGTTTTCAAGGCTCCTTAAGAAGCTCAGTTTGTCTTGAATTTTTTACCTCATCGGATATGCATAAAATAAACCACTGGGAAATATTTTTCAATAATTTCATAGTGTTTCGTTCTCGAACTGGTCGAACGAAGTCGACAAGCAGTCAAATAAAATATATTTCAGCAATTCACAACCCGAAAAAATTGGTATTTTATGTTCTTTAGATTTTCAACTTTAGCAGAATTTACTTACAGCAACAGTATTTTTGTGCTTGAAAAATGAATCAAATCTATGCTTTTTAAGGACTTAAACTAAGCTAGCAGATATTCAAAAATCCATCTTACAAAAACATCAAACATCCTCAAGGCTCCTAGTGAGATCAAATGGTAGTATTTTGGTTGTTTTATCGAATCGTTTTATAAAACTGTGTTTAAAATGGAGGTTGGCCAATTGAAACAAACAATACCGTGAACCAAACATTTGCGAATTATCGCGTAGACAGAGTAATTTAAAGTGTATTCACTCACCTAACAGAAAATACCACAGCAACATTCTGAAAACAATTCACATTAAGACTAAAAATGTTTGTAACATTTGATGGCCTGGGGAGATTCTGTAAAATCCAGTTAGTCAAGGTCCGGTTTGCGTTTAAACAAAGCTCGACGAACAATCCACCAAGTCAATTAAAAGCCAATATTTGATGCCTTAACACTATCTTCGAAGTTTGTTCATGTAAATTTACCACTCAACTATTCGTTTTAAGTTTTCTCGTACAATAATGGATACTAGCAAGGATGGTAGCGTATGCGCGCTTCCAAAGCATTAAGAACACTTAATGGATGGACTTCAACTATTAATTATAAGATAAATTATTTCATTGCTTATCGGAGGTTGAAATTCTTAAATTAAATGCTTTAAACTGCATATTATGGATTGGGCAAATGCTTCCTGTTCAATGCAAGAGCTTATCAATTGTACCAACAATAACACGTACGTACGCTGATGATCTACTTAACCTTTCAATATTTATCGTGTTTTGGGAATTTTCTAATTATCTTGCTAGAAGTGTGAGAAATTGCCTACTGCCATAAATATGAGCATTTTTGATCGGGTATCGAATTGGAAAACACACAGATTTCTCCTGAAGAGATGCGAAAATAAAGACATGCAAATACTATCTATTTGCTTTAACGATTATCGCATTACCAACATAGACGAGCTTTAGTTGCGTTTCTATTAATTATTAACACTTCCATCGCAGTAACGGTAAGTCAGAGTAAGTTCTGTTTAAGAATTACTACTTAGTTCAGCAAGGCTCAGAAAGCTAGGAACACAAACTTTAAATTCACCATTACAATTGCTGATGAGGAAAAACAGCAATAAGATTTAGATTGGAAAAGGACAAAAAATCTAAATACGCACAACTGCAGCAAAGTAGAACAGAATTCCGAACGGTTTGGAATAGAAGGTTTTGGTCACAAGTTCATTAGGCCAATGTAGGGCATTGCCTTTGATCATATTTAATAGTGGAGAACCGTTTAACACTATAAATATTTTTGAACCAAAAACTATGTTTTGAAACCCAACGCATTCAGTGTGGGAATTTCGTTTTCACTCGAAATACCATGGGTATTTAAAAAGGCAAAATCAGAAGTTGAATCCAAGTAAACCAAAATTGATCAAGCAATATTTTTATTTTCAAAATGAGATTTTGTATTCAATAATTGCCAGTTTTGGCACAGCAAATTATTGATTTTCAAGTTCCGCAGGCAGAATGATACAATGTTTGATTTGGTGGAATAATTGTCACTCTTAAGCCCCGAATAATATTTAATACTTACAATATTTTTTAGTCGCAATTGACCCAAGTTTTTGGTAATTTGCTTAAATATTAAAAGTCCAGATATTATTAAAAAGTTAAACTCAAGGCGCATGCAGCAGACAAATTTTGGTCCTTAAATATAACAAATACTTACATCGATTATAAAAGTTCATATTATAATAATTTGGTGTCAATAAAAATGGTCGATTTCTTCACATTAAATTGGGCAAATTGATCTCAGTTTTGCGTTAAAAAAATTAATGCCAAAATACTCGTGACAAAGTGAAGAGTATCACCAAGTAAAAATTCAAAAGATGTGCTTTTTTCTTGTATTTTAACATGGATTTTTATTGAATTTACCCGTAAAAATAAAATTTATCAATATCGGAATTGCAGTTTCAGGGATTAGCAAAACGGCTTTTTAATTTCGCCATGTTCCATATTTCCCGGAAATTTCCTGACACGTTTTAGAAAATTGTTTACGAAAAAAACGCTTTTTGTTACGCAAGTGAGAAACCTGGTTTATACCTACATTAGCCGAGAAAATAGAATGGAATTCACTGTTTGTACTCCGAATGATTGAAAAATTCCAAATGTGCAAGCAATTGCTTTAATTTGGCTTAAAACAACGTTAGATCCATCCGAGCTTGAGTCCCAGAAATGCCCTTTAGAAACCGTTCATTCCCAATTTCCGGAACTGAAGTTTAAAGATAACTTTCTATATTTTCCGAGAGTTTGCCGAAATTAAATAAATTTTCATTTCAGTAAAGGAAAAAACCCATTTTGAACCAAGATGTGCAAACTTTTCCTACTTTCTTTGTCGCCCAGGTACCACTTTGCTGACATCGGCGGTCAGAAAGTACCGGTACTTGACTATATAAAGGAACCGGCCAAGAAATGGACCACAAAATATCTTCAACCATGTATTGGCTGTATATTCTATTCTGTTTAGCTACTTTTTGCCAGGCTCAGATTCCGAGTTTCGGATTCTGTCCCGAATATTTGCCAATGGCGAATTTCGACATGAACCGATTCTTGGGCAAATGGTACGAAGCTGAGCGATATTTCCAGTTCTCTGAAGTGGCTTCCAGATGTGTGGTAGCTGACTATGCTGTAGGACCAAATGGTAAAATTTATATCTCAAATGAAGTCACCAACAGATTGTGAGTATTTTGCATGCATATCCATGCTGAATTTTAAATAATATAATAATAATAATAATAATAATACATTTTAGTACTGGAGTGAAGCGCGTAATAGGAGGCCACATGGATTTAACGGGGAAAAAATCTGAAGGACGATTGGCTGTTAAATATGATACAACCCCCATTTCAACCACATCGACTCTAACGATTTTGGATACGGATTATGACAACTATGCAGTTATTTGGAGCTGCAGCGGCTTGGGGCCAATCAATGCACGTAAGTACTCCTTTGTACGGCTGAATGACATACAGAAATGAATTGAAAAACCTTCATTAAGACTGGCTGATGTTGATTTCTCATTACTACAATTGTAAGCTAATAAATTAGTCATCTAGATATTTGAAATCGCACCGGAAGAATAATTAAAAGTTACTTGCAGAAATCACTGTGACTAACGTTAAACACGGATTATCGTTAAAGGCACCGCGTAATGCAAAGTCCTTTAGAAAAACTGCGAATTGTGTTTTTCAGAAAGCGCCTGGTTGATGACCAGAGAAAGAATTCCCGATGCCACAACTCTTCAAAAAGCTTACGGCGTTCTGGACGCCAATAAAATTAGCCGAACGTTTTTCGTGAAAACTGATCAAGAAGGGTGTGCAATTGCAGCGTCTGATCTGAATGCAGCTTTAGGTATCGCCTCGTCTTCAACTAACGTTGAGCAGGCGGATAATAGAGAACGATTGAGCGTTAGAGCTCAACCTATAGCCGAACTGCTGATGAAAAAGGGCCAAGTGGACGAGAAAAATGAAACTGTTGAAGCAACAACAAATTCAGGTGAAGGAATTACGTCTACTGCTGAAGAAGCGCAAACAACATCAGCAGACGGTGGCAACACCAAAACTCCCATAGAGGGAAGCAAAGCTTCGTCACTCTTAGCCAACTTAATAGAAAAAGCCTGAGACTGTTATTTAAATATCTAGATCACCAGCAACTTTGTAGTATTATGCACATTGGTACAAAACATCTTATTTATTTTTAGGGGTTATTTATGAATTAGTCTGGACACTGAATTCGAGGACTTTACACAATAGCTATTTGTTATTTTTCTCATAGAAAAGATGAGTTATCAATAAACGTTTTTCTGTAGGAAAACTTTTGCAGTTTTTTTGCCTAAACGTAAACCGACACAATTCTCTTTTTTTCGGAAAACGCACAACACAATACATTTACGTTGGATGACAAATCGATTACAGTATTCCATTCTTTACCTCAAATCGACTGTTTTCATTAATCGTGATGATACCCGTTTCTAGTAATTATACACTTGAACAAAATAATTTGATGTTCCGTTACTGCAATACACTCATGAGCTAACAGTACCAGGGCAATAAAAGCTCCACAGCTGCATTCAGAAGTCTTTATTTTCACACGTTTGCTCAATTTGTATCATACAATTTTAAACATACAGTGCAACATGTTGAGACTTGCCCTTCTACTCGTACTGGCACAGACAGGTTTGGGACAAGTGGTTTCGTTCGGACAATGTCCAAATGTCACAGCAATGGATAACTTTGAAGCGGATAAAGTGAGTTTTGTAGGAAATTTGCAAACATTTTCCTCTTTAACTGGCTGGGAAATTTCTGAAGATTTTGAAACATTTCAGTACATGGGCAAATGGTACGAACTGGAAAGGTACTTTGCTGTTTTTGAGTTCGGAGGAGAATGTGTTACTGCAACTTACACGTTAAACGAGAACGAAACCATCACAGTAATGAACACTCAAACTAGCGCTATGTAAGTAAAGTATTCACCGTTTAAGCCCTCGTGCAGATTGTTTCTTATTGAGACCATTGGGGGCTCAATTTTATCAGACACATCAACCTTTAATTTATGCCGGATTTGATATGCATCTACACATAATTAATAATGCATAGACACGTATGAAAATTACGCTGATTAATCGAATAAAATATACCGAAGCTAATGAACAGCGAATCGAATTGCAAAAATACAATAACATTTTTTGCCTATACATAATTGGAAATTGCTGTAATTTTCAAATTTACCATTTCCAATCCCAGGAAATCAACATCATTACTAATACAATCACATCGGCAATCAATCACAATTATTTAACACATATTGTTAATAATAATGCTTTCCTGCATGAAAAATTGTTACTTTAAAGCCCAATGGGCGCACCATATTTGAATAATTACTGTCTATTTTCGCAAAAAAAATTAAAGCTGTAGTAACAAAAAGTTGATTTTAGAAACCCTAGAAGTTTTTTTGTGCGTGGAGAGTCGGAACAAGGGGGCCCATATTCAGCAATGAACTTCTTCACCATCTAATGGATGGAGGCTAAAAGTTCGATATAAAATCCCTTAGAGTTTCGACGTTACCTAGTAATTCGTACATTTTAAATTTTTGCGTCATTTTATTCAAGAACGATTAATGTAGTTTTTTCATGTAAACATTGCTCCCGCAATTTGTTTCTCTAGGGGATCGAAAAAAATGGAGATGTATGTAAAGGTGAATTTTGTAGCAGAAAGTTGGTAGTAAAAGACCTGAAAGTTTCCCTTTTGTGTCGTCATCAGGGATTTTTTCACATTTGTCTCACATTGTAAGCGTTGAGTTGGTATACAGGGTGTCCCGTAAGCACATGATCAAAAGGATACTGCGATATTATTTGCATCTAAAGAAGAAGATCTGACCTAACTTTCATTAACAAAAATGTCTGGCTTCTCTGCTATTGATGGTAAAACTTCTTCAAAAAACGTACGCATTTACGCGGCGCGTATTTGCATTTAATGTCTAACATTGTTACGTGGCAAGAAAACAGACATATTTTTTTTGCATAGAAAGTATGAATGCTACAAGATTTTACAAAGAGAGTAAAATTGTGAATAAATTAGTAGGGCATCAACCACAAAAAAATGAGTTGATTCCATCCACCAAATAAAAAATTCTGGTAGTTTTTGTACCACGACACTCAAGAATTCATCACTTGTCCAAAACGGCTGAACTCGATTGTTTCATCAAAATATGAGTCTTATATAAGAACAAATTCACAACAAGTTTCACCAAAACACACAATTCTCTCGATATTTCAAAAAAGACAAATTTCTTGAAGAACTTTGACCATCAATGGCAGAGGAGCCAGACATTTTTTGTTAATAACAGTTAGGTCAGATCATCTTCTTCTGACCCAAAGAATATCGCAGTACTCTTTTGATCATGTGCCTATGAGACACCCTGTATATAGGCGATTATTACGCAGTCAAATTCTTCACTGCCTGAAGAGATGGAAACCTGGATTTTTCATATTTTCTAGATAAAAGTCCATATCAAATTTTAAGTCTCGCTGTTCGACAGCTATCCAGGATTTTATAGGAATTTTTCTACTACTACCGCACTTAATTTCTGGAAGACCAAACGAACTGAAAACTTAGGCAAACTTAGGCTCAGTATTTTGTAGCAGAAATTCCAAAACAAATCTCTAAAAATTTAAATTCTATTCACTAATGCTGCGGAACTCAATCAGAATTTTTCAAAATTCTTTTATTTTGACGATCGCGTATTTAAGAGAGAAATTTAGATACCTAGAATTTAGGCGAAAAGCTTAAAAAATTTATTTTTTGTTGGTTCTGTGATTTTTCAGCACCAGAATGCAGGCTTCAATAAACGGCGAAGCAAAATTCGATGGTCCTACAAATGAAGCCAAACTATCCGTAGCTTTTTCATTATTACCAGGTAAAAATTCGCGAAAATTTGATAAGACTTTGATTTCTTATTGCTATTTTAGAAAGGTTTGCGGCACCTTATTGGGTTCTTGGTACGGATTACGAACATTACACAGTCGTTTGGTCATGCCTCAATATGGGATTTCTACATTCAAGTACATTTCTCCAATAACTAAAGGTTTCATAAGTGGTTAGAGGTGATGTAATTTGGCTTTTAGGGAATGCTTGGATTTTAGCCAGAACCCAAACACTAACACCAGAATTGCTAAGTGAAGCTCATGCGATTTTGGATAAGAACAACATATCCAGACTCTATTTTATCCGAACAAACCAGAGAAATTGTAAGGATGTGTAATTTGATTAATTAAAATGAGTATTTAAGGAAAATTTTCCCAGAATGAGCTACGGATTTAAGTCACTTAAAAACATTTAGTGTTATTTGTATACATTTAGTTTAAATATAACGTAAAACAGTTTATGTGTATAATTGGTTGCCACTCTAGCGATTTTGAGTTCCCTGGCACCGAGACTCATATTTGAGGTGGAGATGGAAACCGAGTTGTCAAGCGCCGGATTTCAAACCTAAATTAACGACTTTTTCATCAGAAATCGACTGTAAAATTTGGCGACTTTTTGAATATCACTACAGACAGTTAAGCAACTTGAAATAGTTTAGCTGTTTTACATAAAATAAAGACTCTATTTAAAAGACAGTGTAGATAAATCCAATTTAAAGCTTAAGAATTAAGGCAACAAAACGGTGTTTCACTCAAAAAGTCTTCGAAAAAAGCAAAGCTCAAAAATCTCTCGTCGCTTAGGTGAAAAAAAAATGTTTAATTATTTCAAAACTACTGCTGTTCCCACGAATAAATGTGACAACGGCGTAAACTGGGCACATGTCAAAAGTCTCTGGTCAAAATGCGGGCGTTGTTTGGAAACATACAAATTCAATTCTATATTAAAGTGATCATAATAAAACTCTAAACGTAAACACGGCCTTATAAACTACAGTTACGATGTGAATTTCATAATGGCCTTATTGAGCCAGGGTTTTTGAGTTTTTAAGGAAAAGTTCTGCTAAGGTCTGTTGAGAAGATGAAGCTTGCCAATTATTTGATTATAAACCTATATCTAATATTATATGTGAACACATGCAGTGCCTATTTAAATCTATATTTAAGCTCTCAGGAAGTACAAAGACTATTAGGTTTAGGTAAGTACACATTATGGTTCTACCGATTTAAACTACACGTTTCTCAAGTCCCCATCAATCAGTCATTGGAGCCCTGAATTCAATTCATTTTTTAAAAAGAATGTTTAATTTGCTTATTTTGATGTTTATGAGCCCAAAAAAACATTGATTGATTATCTTCAAAGTCTTAAAAGTTCAAAGATTTTCAATGCCCCAATGCAAAATTCTGTTAACTTTTAGTAGAGTTAATACCTACATGTTTTTGTTGTAGGAATCCCAGCCGAATTGTATTATATAAGAGACGATTTAATTAGCCAACATGCGTTAAATTTTTCCCTCTTAATTCCCCCAACTGTAAACGATTTATATTTCACGTGGCAAAACATTGAGGGACAACAAGTAAGTAGCAGCAATATTAAAATCCTTATCAGCTTGCAAGCTCGCATATCAATTTACTTGTGAGCTGCGGCGAAACTGCAAGGACTGTTTTTTTAACGTTTAACCGAAATATTTACAGTATAAACCACTTAATGGCGCAGCTGAAGTACATAGGAGATAAAGTACTATGATGAAAAGACTCTGAACCGCTAGAGATAAAGATGTGTTAAAACAGTACTGCGTCTTATTGTGTAACATGATTCGAAGGATTTGATCAGTTTTATTTATAGGAAACATTTTAATGAAAACACGCAAAAAATGCTAACAGATTTACCTGAAATTTCTAATTTTGTACAACAATAGGTAGCAAAGTGTGCTTCCATCACTCCTCCAGTCCTTCAGCAGTTGCTTATTGTTAACTAGCTCGATTCATTTTTGATGGCTTTTGAAGCCGCAATAATGGTGAAAGGCGATAAAATCTAGTTTTTTAATTTTCAGATTGCGTACTCTATAAAAGTAAAAACGTCCAACACAGAAGCAATTCCAAAAACCAGACTCAGCATACCCTCAGTCGGTCATGTACCGTCGTCTTCTCAAACTTTCGCAGTGAATGTACCATGTTCCGGTGCTGTAGAAGCGGAAGTTCATATATCAATTATTGTCGACATTATCTTCGCTAAGGACAAAACAGATAATCTTAAGATTCTGAGCAAGAAACCCTGTCTGAATGCGAACGTTGACCGTTCTGTGACGGTGAATAATTTACCTCAATTCGCAAACTCGTCAAGTATTTTTTATATAGCAGTATGTAGTGCAGTATTACTTATATGCGTCTTAGCAATTTTGATAACCTTGTATTACGTGAAAAATAAGAAAATCAGAACGACTGAAAGTGGCGGAAGTGCGCCCACTACAACTACCACAACGTTTCTAGCCGCATTGCCTAGGAATAGTGTAAATGCTTCTTCCTATGGAAGTTTCAGAAGAATGCCCAGTTACTCACTATTAGATGATAGATCAAGGGATTTACAAGAAAGAATTACCGAGCTAACCATTCAAAGGTACTTATTTGAACATTTTCAGCATCGCATACAATTGTGTGTTTCAGGTGCAGAGTTCGCCAGACCAGCATTGTACTGGAAGGCACGTTTGGAAGAGTATATCAAGGATCTTACACCAACGAAGAAGGAATCGAAGAGACTGTAATAATTAAGACTGTAGCAGAGCATGCGAGCCAAGTACAAATATCTTTACTTCTCCAAGAAGGGATGGCAATGTATTCACTAAATCACAAGAATATTCTGAGCATTTTGCGGGTTTCTATTGAAGACCACACCACCCCACTTCTTCTTTATCCATACAATGACAACACAAATCTGAAGATATTTCTACAAAAATGCAAAGTCTCATCTGAGGGTGTTCACCACACTTTAACAACACAAGAAGTGGTGCATATGGCTTTGCAAATTATCAAGGCAATGCAGTATCTTCACAAGAAGCATTTACTGCATAAAGACTTGGCGGCAAGAAACTGTGTGTAAGTTCACATTTCAGTCCAAACTGGCGATCAGTTTAAAAGTTTGATTTCGCAGGGTGGATGATAATTTAACCGTGCAAATAGCGGACAATGCATTGTCCAGAGACTTATTCCCATCCGATTATCATTGTTTGGGAGACAATGAAAACAGGCCAGTTAAGTGGTTGGCTTTGGAAAGCCTCCTCCATAAAACCTTCACTTGTGCTTCAGACGTTTGGTCATTTGGAGTCCTCTTGTGGGAATTAACGACTCTGGCTCAACAGCCTTATATTGAAATTGACCCATTTGAAATGGGGGCCTATTTAAAAGATGGATATCGGTTGGCGCAGCCAATAAATTGTCCAGACGAACTGTAAGTGTTAGAATAACATTCAAACTGTGAAGTTGCAAACATCCTCAAAAGCTAAAGATCTCACGCATTATTTGCTGTTTCAGATTCGCTGTTATGGCCTATTGTTGGGCGATGAGCTCAGAAGAACGACCTACATTTAATCAGCTTCACGTGTGCTTGGAAGAGTTTTATACACAACTAACCAAATATGTCTGACAAAAGTGTATATCTCTTTCGATGTTAATTTCCTAATTTCTACTAAGTGCCAAATTTGACAGAATATATTGCCAAATATTTAATACAAACGGTAGATTTGTGTGTAAAAAATGCTTGCAATTTACTATATCTGAGATTTTATTTCATCTTGCGTGGTAGCGTTTGTTCCCGGTGATTAGAAAAAAATAATTTTTGTTCAACCACATTATTGTTACAGCACGGCAAAAATTCACAGAAACAAAAATATTTAATACTCTTCCATAGCTCAGAACAGACTGCTAAAAAGCTTGGAATGGGCTATACTTGTGTTGGTAAAGTCTACTTATTTTTTGTATTTATTTGCGATTAAAGTATTTTCTTGTGAATAAATTCTCAGTGTTGTTTCTTAAAATACCCACGGTAGACTTAGAGTTTTATTTGCAGTACATAAAGACTTTGGTTGTCATTTATTTACATATTATATTTCACATTTAAAAAAACATAATACGTAGTTATTAAAAACAATCATCAATATCCCACTAAACATGGAAAATTTGTTATACACATTTGACATTACTGCTACCAACTATTAATTAGATTTCGTCTTTACATTACATACAACACTTATTAGGACCTTGGCATTTTTATGAAGGAATTATGTAAATATAGACAATGTAATGAAATAAAACGAATATTCGTACGATTTTTTTGTGCGCCATTCATCAAACTCATAATTGAGTTGTTTTGCGAAAAGATAATTCTTATTAAAACTATCGAATTCTCATGAAAATCCAAAATTAATTTCATGTTCTATAAAACTATTTGTGCAAAACTGCGCACTATTCTAAGATACAACGCCAAATTATATTATGATTTAAACTAATTAACTTTATCGCTTTAATTTTTTTTCTATTAAATCGCTAGCTATGCTTTTTAAATATTCTGAGTGCCCTCCTACGAATAACTAAAATTAAATACACAAATGGTTACAAATAAAAAATAAATAAATATAAGCTCTTGAGGCGAAACTAATAATTTGGCATTGTACATTTTAAATTTCAAAGATCCGAGGAAAAAATGTGTGCTTTGTAATTTAGTTACAGACTTCCAATTTCTCTATAATCAAAACAATAGATTTATGCTATTTATTTGGATGCCCGTAATGATTTATTAAGACAAAAATTTTTGTTTAAATCTCACGCTCGCGCGAATAACTAGTTAAGTGTTGCGATTTTAGAATTTTCGTTCCATTCGTTGAACTCACGAGACTTAAGAAACCTTTACAGTATAAAAAATGCTTTCTATTTATGCCATAGCAAAGTTTTGGCATTCAATTGATGAATTAACTTTCTACATTATCGTTGTCTAAGCCCCGACAATTTCATATCAAAATTGACCGCTTTAGCATAATAAAAATACTTTAAACCCTGTGAGAACTTATTATCTTTATTCATAGTGCAGATAATGCTCTTAAATCACGTACGCTTCGAGCCTGCACTTATTACTACGTGGTATCTTCTTACATTTCTTTGTAGAAAAAACTCATCAAATGCCAAAAATATTGCGAGAAAATCCATGTAGTGCTTTCAATTACATAACATAGATGGTGGTGAACAATTTGTTTGGACATTAAATACTGAAAACATCCGTTGTTACTAATATGAAGAAGTAGGTAAGTGGATATAATATACAAAATAGTTCGCAGCCTTAATGATTATAGCAATTTCCCAGAACTGCCTCCATTTCATTACTGAAAGTAAACAATAATGTACAATTTTCAATTTCCACGCGATAATTTTGAAGCACAGATAGAAAAACCCACCAGACAATTTAAATATTTTTTTAAAGCGTTGTTAAGTTAAATATCCAAAAGAAGAACGAAAATAATAGTCGGGTAACAACAATAAACTGTCCTGTGTGTAGTTGATGCATTTAGAGGTAATTGCTAGAAACATTACTGCAGCAATTAAAATAAAAAAAACACTTAAATATCTACAGTAGCCTATCACCCGATGAATAAACCCAAATCAATGTGAAACACTTATCATATTATATTACATTTACACTAATTCCTCTAAGGACTTGTAGAAAAAATATATGAAAACTGCAATGTAGTTACTAGTTCTTATACAAGGCGAATTGATTTTTTCGCATGTTGCTATTTAAATGGATGATATTCACACGTAATGGCATGGGAAGAGTTTTGTAAGCGCCAATACTGATACATTAAAGCTGTCAAAAACATACTTTTCAATAGAAAGTAAATCTTTTTCCGACATCACACTACAGCGCATACAATAGTAGTCCAAATGGAGGAGAATTGCACCAAATTTTTGTTTCCTTGTAGCCAATTTTACATATCCGTAAATTATTTGCGATTTAACAGTGTGCCGATTGACTATGTTAACATTTTATTTTTGTTTGTTGATACGTTTACGCATGAAAAACAAACAGATTTCATGCAATTTCACTTTGTATAAGAGTTTATCGAAGCCCCTTAAATCGGAATTAAAAATAAGCAACACTGTTCAAATGTTCGACAACTATCTCGGAATCTCCTATTAGAAAACGTATGAACATTTTGGTATTAATGTTTTTACTATGCTACCATTAACTAGAGTTTTGCGAACCTACGCATGAGTTCCTCACATTTTCTAATTGTAGATCCTATAACAAACCTTTGTAACATAAAAATTTTACAAGTTAATTGATATTACAATTGATCCATATTCAAAACACACTAAAAGCAAAATTATATCCTTCTGTAAGGTTTAGTTTTGGAAATCAATTCAATTTACTTATGTAAAACAATATGTGTTAATTAGAGCATAATAGTATACTAAATAATTTAGCAGCAAATTTATTAACAAATAATCAGAACACTCTTTATAAGATAAATTGCATTTATTTATTACTGCATTAATTTAATTACTCATTAAAAAAATGTTTGAATGTGTTTTAAATATATACAACAAATTTTCTAAAAATCAACTTAGTAACGTAGTTACTATTCTATTCAATTAATAAAAATATATACATTTACGACCTAAGTTAATACAATTGGCCTCGTTGGTTCTAAGTAAAAATTATTTAAAAAAATGTTTGTAAATTAGACATCAACGAACCACAAAATTTAATAAAATTATATTGAAATTCCAATTTTTCTACAATTTGATAGAAATTTAAATTAAATTTACTCTGTCAATTAACAGAAGCACCAATAAAGCCAAAAATATCAACAAAATTAACAAAATATGTACATGTATTATGAAACTCACAAATATTTCCTCAATTAATAAACCCATCAGATTCAATGGTTCATATCCGATCATAAAATCGAGGAGCGCACGAATAATCTTCAATTTAATTGCAATAATAGATATTTATAATAATAAAATCGACCCGGAAAATATCAGTATCTAAGTGCCACTTTGTATGTTTTTACCACCCGCAGCTGAAAGGAGAATTTGATGTGAGAAACCGCTTTTCGGACCTTGGGTACGGGAACCTTCCGCAAAACATGCCGTGCACACGCATGTGAGGTTATTTTCTATATCTCTAGATGTGGAGGTAGTCGGACTCTCGTTGGTAGCAAAGGTTATGATAGTGGAGAAGGAAACATTTTTCAAGAGTGGGGGGACAATATTTTCCGAAAATAAAATTAAGTGTGCACGTGAGCTGAAGTGCTAGTAAACGGTTTTTATTCGAGGCTTCGACCTGCATCCTGTTGACCATCCAAAATACGTGAACACCAACATTTCAACACGCAAAAAAATTACCCGCACTATCGCATAATGTTGCCACCTCCACAACCGGAAATGTTGTCACCCCTTCTACCAAAAAACACATAAATCTGTGACAATATTGACAGTGACAAGATCTTTTGCTTTTCCGGACTAGAGGGCGTCAACATTTTCCGATAGTAAAGGTGACATTATCGGCCGTGGGGATGGGGTGACAACATTTTACTGTAGCGGGGGGTGACATTTTCTGGTAATAAGGACCTCAACAGTAGTGGAGGTGACAACATTATGCGATAGTGCGGGTAATTTTTCTGCTCGTTGAAATGTTGGTGTTCAAGCGTTTTTGGGTGGTACTTTCACTACCGGCAAATGCTGAAGTCACCCCCACTGCCGGAATACGTTATCACCTCTACTACCAGCCTAATTGTCCATTACCAAAAATTGTACATACTTTCCTGACTGTGTTTCAATTCCATATCAAAATTAATTCCTGGGTTTCAGTCATTTATTGTCTCATCAATTAAAATACGTTTCGGTGTATTTTTCCACACAACATTTTAGAAATGTATGCCAAGGCTTAAAGCAGCAACAACGCTCATAAAAACTGATGATGGTGGGAAAATACACCGAAACGTATTTTAATTGATGAATAGAGATAAACGACTGAATCCCAGGAATTAATTTTGATTATCAAAAAGTCGTTACTTTCAATGCGATAAGCGATAAGTTTTGAACACTGATAAATGGTTTATTAATTGTAGGAACATCCACAAAGCCACTCCTACAACTAGGGAATTATTTAAAGACAATGTTAACATACGTAATGCTAAAATCTATTGGTCACTTATAACGGTTTCTTCGGTTTTTACATCGCTCAGACCTTGCATTGCCTTGGTCAATACCGTCGCATCTTTCAGGGACAGAACCTGTAATACTTGTGGCCCGTCGGTGCCAGCACCCTGTATCATCATTGTATGGGTGTTGAGTCCGCTTGGCGTTACTGTAAGTGTCTCGATATTGTCCCCGTTATTTGGTTCCACCTTTAAGAATAAAAATGTTCCGTAAAACAGCTCTTTCAACTAGTAATTGTGTTATCTGTTGTGAACTATTCAAAATGATTCAAAATATAAACTATTCAAAATGAAAAGAAATTACCAAAAATTTAGGAAAAAACATCTCTTTTCCTTAGATCGCATGCAACTTGTAACAAGAAAATAAACACAGAGGAGTATCACAAAATAACAAGCAACACGACACCACAGCAGTTTTAGTTGCAAGAGAATAAAAATTCGACGATTAACAAATTTCTTGAATTATTCGTCTTGAAAATTTTAACTTGAATTGATTGAACTGATACCAAGAAAAATACAATGAAACCAGCTGAATGTCGTGCTTAAAAATAAAAATTGCAAATCAAAACGACAAATATTTACCTTTACCTTGGGAACTTGTACCATGGGCGTAACGCATACAGTGCCATCACTATTTGTGTGTAGATGTTGAATGTTCGCAACCATCGTTTGATACATGGAAGCAGATACCGGAACTGTGATGACACCACTAACTGCAATATCACAAAAAAAACAATAAAACATTATTTAATAAGTAAGTTAATTTCACCAGGCTCATAATAATCATGATTACTTCAAATCTACGTATGTAGTTAACAAAACATTCTATAGAACTATTAAAACACAATGAACCTGAACCAACTTGGGAGATTAAACCCCAAAAACATCATGCATTTTAAAAGTAAAGGCCCAATGAAATAAATACAGCAAATAATGGCTCTCTAACTTGCCGAAGCTATTATCTAATAATACTATTTCTAATAGACATGATGTTCTATTATATAAAAAACCATTATTTTCGAAATAAATTAAATATTGGCAAATTAATTTTTGTCTTTATATTTTGAATTATTGAGCGAAAACGTTCGTAGGTATCATGACGCCCGCTTGCCACGTCAAACCTTCGTCAATTTTGCAGTGTCCATATGAACAAAGACACATATAAAGACAGTCTTTCAGACTGTCTTTATCTGTGTCTTTATTTTATCTTAGAACAGAAGTTCACAAGTCTTTCAGTCAACATGACTGACTGCAGTATCTTGAACTTTTATTAAAAATCTTATTGCTCCCAATATTTATATTAACAGTCATTTTTTAAAAACATATATTTTTATATGATTCTTTTATTATGTCATCATGCCCATTGTATAGATCCGATTCAACAAATTAAACAAAATTCGGAATTTCTACTAAAAACAATTTAACGCGACGATACGACTGGACATAAGTTGGAAAAAAACCGTTTATCTATTTCTCCGAACCACAAAGGGTCCAGCGGTTTGTACTGAGAAGAAAATTCAAAAATAATTGCTTGATGCTTTATAGACCCATTTCGTAAATAATTTTACACTCTAGTCTGGCTTTACGCCAATCTGAGAGATTACTAATTATGTAACATGTACGTGCTATGTTTTGTATTGTGTTTTTACCATTGTTTGTACTGTATGTATTATATGTTGCATTTCGTTTTTTACTCGCTTTGTCCATAAAATTAGTTTTTCTGTGGCAATAAAGCATATTTTGATTTAATTTGATTAAAATGTTTTTATAAATTTCCAGATGCACAGAAATATTGTTGATTGTTTCATGCATTTACATTTAAAATCCATAAACGTTTTAATCAACTACATATGAGACCTTTAAATAAATTAAAGATAAAAAAATAAAAGAAAATAGAAGAAAAAAGTCCATAAACTATTCAGTAATATGTTCAATTCAATTCAATTTCGGATGTATTCTAAATGAAAATAAACAACTGAAAGTACTAGCACCTTAAAAACACAAAAAAAAAATAATGCAAATGTGAAAGTCATAAAAATCGTACATACCCTGTCCGTCCTCACCAGTCAATATGATTTGACCCTCAGTATTCAGGGTTGCTTCCGTAACAAAATTCAATGTGAGTTACAGGAGGAGGAAGTTTTGTACCAAGAGGGCAAAAAATATGTATATTCTGAACTTTTTTGAAGTGAACAGTTTTCAAAAAAAATGCCCCAATCAAAAGTAAATTTGCAAACTGACAAAGGGGTTACAGATTAGTCTTGATTTTGTCTGCCTATATAATTGAACAGCATCGTTCGACAATATTCTATGTTATACATAGTTGCGTTCAATACAAAACATAATCTGACAAAATTGTTGTCGAAAGTCATTCTGATATCTATAGATATTCTTTGCTATCTGGTACAAATATATGAATGAAGAAAAAAGTTCTTAGATTACATATAGATATTATTGGAAAGCTATCGTGGAAAATGGAGAACTATAACTTTATTAACTTTAACACGCACACAACAGATTTTATCACATAACTCTACTGGCTATTCTTTTGGTTAGTTAGTTTTAAAAAATTAAATTGCAATCAAATGATCAAGCATTCGTAGTATAGTGCTCCATTTAACAACAATGAAACATCAAAATTCGCCTTTATAAAAGCAGACAAAATTATAAGACGTACCATGCCCATCTTCAGCAGTTAATATAATTTGCCCATCTGAATTGAGTGTGGCCTCAGTAACTGAATTCAAATCCACAACTTCTCCTTGGGAACCACCCTCACTAATAGTCTGTATAGTGTGCACACTGCCGTCCCCATTACCCGATTGCAACTGCAACGAAATATTTGCAATATGTTAGCAGTCGCACTTTAGAAATCGTTACGCGATTTAGAATTTGAACAAAAATTACTCACCGTGGCCATACCCTGTACATGAGCAGTAGTACCATCTGGTAAAGTAATAATGGGATTATTAGGATCTACTTGTACAATACTAACGGTCCCATCAGGATTCGTAATGGTGTGCAGTACTGTTGGGGCATACTGCGTTGTAATCTGAAAAAGACAAAAAACATTAATTTTTTTTTCGAAATGCAATTCTGTAATTGGACATCAATAAAAGTTAAAAAACCCCTTTATTGATGACCAATCTTAGGAGCGCTAACAAATATATTATAGCATTTCACACATCTAAGTCACAAGTAAAAAACCAAAAACTCAAGCTAATTGAACAATAAATGACTAATAAATTTCTACAAATGAAAAATTACCAAATTATTAAAAAACGTAGGTAATTTGAACTAATCGAGCAAATAGAAAGTCAATTGTCACGACTTCTGAATTAGACTATTTTCTCAGACTATGAAGGCTTTCACGGCCGGTCAGATTACATTTAGGGATGTTTTCCGGGCTTTGAAGCCGTGGTCTATTGGAATTTCTTCCTAACTAAAGGAAGAAATTCCAATAGACCACGGCTTCAAAGCCCGGAAAACATTCCTAAATGCAGACTATTTTCTATTTGCTCTCATCTCAAAAGCATTACTTTATATTCTTTATTTACACTAGGGAACGCGCCCGTGCGTTAACTGGTGCAAATAATCAATTTCAAACTGGACCAGTAACTATAGTGCATAATAATTAAAAAAAATATATTTGCAGGCAACATATAGAAGCGGATTAAGGTTACACACGTCCACGTCTGAGCTGTAGCCTCCAGGATCGAGGCAAACCTGAGTAGAAGAACCTGATAGTCCCTCAGGGGAAGCCGCAATGATTTGAGGCGACCCGTTAGCTTGAATCTGAATCTTATGGGTGGGCACGCCAGACGAGTGCATTTTTAGTACACCCACGGAATTACACTGAAAAATATTAGTAGGACTGCATGTGAATAGAAAACGTTTCATTATATGATGGGTTTGTTCCAAACGATTTAATAAACATGTCGAAAAACAAAAATTGTATCTTCCAACTCAGGTCCTAAGGGTTCCGTAATTGTTTCAAAGCATTAGTTATTGTTAGTTCTGATTTAGTAAACTTCGAAAACTTTTCTTATTAAAAACACTTACATTCGCATTTGATGTCGCGGCAGCATTTGCCTTTTCGTCTTCCTCGGTGAAGGCTGGTAACAAATCTTCTCTACCATGAAATTTATAGCAGTTGATAACGATTTGTCGTAATGCGTGAGTCCACGAAATCTGAAAATGCACAAAACATCATGAATAAGAAATGAACCAATGAGTACCTTACTTTTTGCTTCTCGTCTTCGCTTCGTGCGTCCATACGGACGTTTGCCCAAGGAAGTTCTTTTGGCCACCATGGAGGCCTGGTTGATTCTCTGCCCCAACCAGGTTTGCCTCGTCCTGTTGAGTATTTCAACATCAACGGGATGAAAGCGCGCAGTTGCGCTTGTGTCATTTTCTCTACAGGGGTAGGTATTCCATCGATGATGAGAGGTGGAAGTTCAAAAAGCGTCGGATCTTCTTGAATTGGTGGTGGTGCCTAAGGGTAATTTTCATGAAGGCGATCTGTCTCGTGCCCTTCTTCCATGTTCCAATTAGGAACCACCCATTTATATTTACTAACCTGATGTGCTAAGGCGTTTTCTAATTCTTCCATTATGGAGACTTTCAAATTCTTTATCACGTCTTCTAACGGTTTGGCGCCGAAAACTTTATAGCTCGTATTTGGTTTTCCTGGAGTTGCCACTAGAACTATCGCCTGTTGACCCACCCTAGTAGCAAATTCGTCTATTGTTTGCTAAAGACGAATGGAGAAACGATTAAATCAAAACTGTCCTTGTCGGCGAAAATAAACGTAAATTGCTTTAGAGCAAAATAATTATGAGACCGTTAAATAAGAACCATTTTATAATAGGGGGGTGGGGGGTGTATACACTGAAGAAACTAACAATAAACGCAACAGAAGTTAAAAATTTAAATTAAATTTAAAAATCCTTGCCTGGTCGAAATATACAGTCGACCAGTCCGACACTGAACAAATGTTCTGGAATTAAAACTGAACTAAATTACTTTACCCAATCAAAGGGGAAGCAAACTTGTATTATAGTGTAGGTCATACACACTATAATACAAGTTTTGATTGTAGTATTTTATAATAAATAGCATGTAGGTGTTTTGATGACGACGTATAAGTAAACCACAAACCGAACGCAATAAATTATTTGAGCTGCATTTCATTGATGACTTTCCCAAAAAAGTTTCAGACGAGATTTCCACGAAACTCATTTAATCTCTTCACTGAAACACAAAGCCATCTTCAAAACACAAGATACAATTAGAAGCAGTCTTACAAAAACGACACCTGGCAAAATTATAACCTTTGTGAATGTAACCAAATTTACATAGTAACAGTCCATAAAAGAAAATCAATCGCTTAAAACCGAGAATCATCATTGTCTGACAGAACTTAAGAAGCTTAAACAAAGGGAGCATAAACTAGTCAAGAAAGTCCAAGCCTATCAAATAATGGTGTCCGTAGTCCAAACGTGTTAAGCTGATTTCGACCAATCATGGTGGTGAAGTGAACCGAGCTGTAATAAACGATCTGTCGTCGAGTTTGCGCTGTGTGAGTGGAGTTACTAGATGGGATAGTGTATACAACCGGAATTCAAGCACAAACTTCCTTAAATATTTAGCCTTAACTAATCTTTAAGACCAAAGTGAAATTCTCTGTAAAAATCAATCAACATTCATGGCTGAGCTCAGGAGTGTCCAAGAGAGATTTCCAAACTATTCATTTAATCTCTACATTGAAATCCAGAGCACCACTGAAGTAAGTCTTAATAGAAACAGTACTCCCTATATTCTATTTTTGCCCATAAATCCAACAAATTAAGAATAATTAACGATTATATTTACCCTGAGTTTTCGAAGTAGTCGATTCTGCTGTCTTTTTCTGATTGACGGATTAGTCTCAAATGAATGAGGCCGTTTTCTTTTCTTGGAAGAAACTATGGCCGCTGCTGCTGCCACCCCCACCGGACCTAAAAAATAGTAACTCTTTGCTTAGTAAAATAGATGGCATCAATGTACCCAAGCTCAGTTTGTTCGAGATTTTGTCCAATTTTTGCATTCAATTTCGGGGATTTATCGGGAATAATCACAACCATTGAGGTGAGCATACTTCGGAAAATTTTAAATGTGATTTTCTCTAATAGAACAAACCTTAACCATGTACTGTAACTATATATATATATATTTATTAGTGTATATACTAAAACACACTTATGCACATGTTGAAACCCATATCAACAATCAATAACGCTGATTGAGTTAGAACTAACTGGTACTCCCTATGAACAATAATTGTTTATCCAAGGGTTCCAGGGTTGTAACGAGATAATTAATTAAAGAACTGAAAATGCCGGTGACTTTCCTTGAATCCTTCGTGTTAATTTGCGTTTAAAAGTAGGTATAAGGGAGGTTTTTTTTCGACTTCCCATAATTGATAAACGATGGGTTTAAATGATTACAGATTGTTCATTATAATGGTCAGTCCAGACCTTACGAGCCTAGCCTGAGGCCTAGCCTGAGGCCGAGCCTGAGCCGCGGCAACTTCCTTTGATGTTTCGTCAAAAGATCCACAGAAAGGTGGCCGCTGGTGTTTCCAGAAACATCAAAGGACTTTTGGGCGGCACATTCCTTTGAAGTTTGGTGGAAACACCGACAGAGAATGAATAGTTGGTCTGTACGAAGAAAAATTATCGATATATGTGAACTGAATAGGACCTTTACAATTACAGATTAAATGTTAACTTGAACGTTAGTTGCTGCCCTTATTATTATTATTGCAAGTTCTGTTGTCTGCCTGGCACAACTATTTCGTATCATTCAAAAGTAAGCCTAATGTATCATCGTTTAGTTTCCAATAGCAACAATTCTGTGTTCTAGCTAACCATCCCAGAAATGCCTGTATTAGCTCACAACCCATTAATCTGACTCAGAAATTATCTTCTAAAAATTATTCTCCTCATTGAATTTTGTGTGACCAAAAAAGCCACGAAAACTGCTTGATTCGTGCATAATCTCGTCGCCCTCCAGTGTATGATTCCTAGTTCTCAATACAGTAAAGTCCGCTTATAATGAACCCAGTTATAGTGAACTTAAGTTATGGCAAAAAGTTAGCCGAAAAACCATTGCAAATTACGTTATGCATGGGGGATTTGTAAGGAAAAAATGATTATGAACCAGACGATGAAATTCCACTTAACGAATGGTTAGAAAAGTATAAAGAGTCTGACTACGAGTACGACACACACGAAGATGGCCCAATATTGTCGAAGAACAAGTTAAAACCAAATTGAGTGATTTCAATTTCTTCGAATATGTGAGCATTCTTACAAGAGAAATGTTGACCGATGAGCAAATTATAGACTCCGTAACCTCATCTACAGCTTTAAGCGATAATGAGAAAGATGACGATTTAGGTGAAACGTATTCTACTGTACACACTAATGCTGTTTCTGAAATGACAAAAAAAGTGTCAGAAACTCGGAATATTCTACAATCACGCCAAGTTCCTAATCATATCTGGGAGTCCTTTTGTGATTTGTGATCTTGAAAACTACATAAATAATATCTATTTTTGCAGCAAAAATGTACAAACATAAATTACAGACTTTATGAAGTAGATTTCAAACTGAATTTTGTTTATCTTTTTGTGTTCTTTTTAGTCATACCTACTAACTTCTACTACTCTATGTAAAAATAACGAAACAAAATACATCACGTGTTTTTGTATTATTATTCGCTGATAGCGAACTCCGGATATAACGAACCAGTTTTAGTTCATTTTTCAAGTTCGTTATATCCGGACTCAACTGTAGCAACAATTCCCCGTCTATCTAAAGAAAGACAAAAAACCTCATACAGAAAACTCGAATTATAAATAATAAAAATTTCAAAAAATCAACAAAATAACTCATAATGAAAGGAATTAACTTCAAACAAATGCTTTAGTAAAACAATATAAAGTAAATAAACATTTGCATATATTAAATAATAATACATATATATATATAAAGTGTAAATGCAAATAATACAAAAAAACTTTCAAAATCCTCCAACCTAATTGATAATAAATAATCCAGTTACAAATACTCATTGACTGTATTAGTAGACTACAAAAAATCACAGACATGCTAATCATTTGGCAAATAGTTAGTAAATACTCAGTCAGTAATCATTCGCTTGAAAATTAACTAAAATGATGTAACGAGCAAGAATTATTTGAGCAAATCGCGAATATACAGGGTGATTCGAGTTTAATCTTGATAAGGTCAGGAACTCATAAAACAGGTTAGAATAATTTTAATCATGTACAAAAATGTATATCTTGTACAAATGATTTTTTTCCCCTTAAATTTTTTGGAAACATCTTTCAACGGCTTCGATCTCCGAAAAGATGCAAATTAGGGAAAACTTTTACATCTTGTAGGAACTTGTTCTTTCGATTCCTGAAGTTATCAATCCAGATTAAACTTGAATCACTTTGTATGGGGTGTATTCAAAAGGTTGGGAAATCTCAATACCCAGTATATTTTCACGTGATTGTAAGCGAAAGATTTTTTCTAAGATCTCATGCACCAGTTTAGCAAGGCAGTCACTTTATTCTGTGTTTTTTTGTTTTGGACAGGGCGCATTTAAATTAAAGAGCTTCGAATTAATAAAAAAATGTTTGGCTGCAGTCTACTCAGTCAGACTATCTGTTCTAAGCGACTTGTCGACATATGTACATAATATAATATATAATAACTTACAAAAATGTGTCTTCTGAAATTATAAATCCAATCATATGATTATGAAAATTGATACTTGCATATATGTGTTTAATTCTAAAAATTGACTGATTTATAGACAAGTATTGAATAAATTCGAGTATAATGACATGCAAATAGTTTTTCTTTTTACACAATTATCATGCACCCATGCAACAAAGTATACTTGCGGTTAATGACTGATTTTAAGCGCACCTGGTGTTTTTTTTTTCAATACTTTTTTTAGAGCTTATTACGTTAAATCGTGCATTACATCTTACATTAATTTTTAGCGGACGGAAAGTAAAATCCGTAACGAAACGTACGTTTCATAGGTTTATCCAGTTACATGAAAATTTTTAGGGCGTCAAATAAAGGACGTCCAAGACATCGTCTACGGCTTATCGAACAAGCTCTCGTGAAGCGAAGCGTGTAAACCACAAAAAGGTACGTTTTGAAGTTATAGGAGTTTTTTAAGGCCGCAAAGTAAGGGGCGGAGCAGACACAACGTCTTGTCGAATGAAACAATAGACCACAAATCGTACACTTCCAATAACGTTTTTATGTATTTCTCCTTAGAACAACTTGCGGATTTGGCTTAAAATGGAGCTTACGCAATCAATTTTCCTTCTAATTATCCCGCTTCATCGAGTTTCACTCATTCTGTGATCAGTTTTCCTTCTTTAACTAGACAAGTCATTTGATAAGACGTTGGATCTGGACCGTTCTTAATATCCACTAAAAAATGTAGTACTACTCCTGCATTTTCACATTCTGGTTACTTTGGCGAATGAGCTTTATAATAGTAACGATAAAGTTCAACTAACTTAAACCTGTTAATTTCCGTTCAAGCTTATATCATTGGCAATTAGTTTAAGTTTTTCTTTCGGTGATTCGGTTTCTCTGGACCCAAAGTTAGTAAAAATCCGTAACTTGATGCCTAGTCACGGTAGACGACCGTGACTTGCATAGGCAAAAACTTCTGGGAAATGAACGCGGTTTGAACAACACAAATAGGAATAAAAACATTTTAAGTCGAAAGATTGTATTTTCCAATCATTCTTTCTAAAACTTCTAAGTGGTGTTTGATCTATTTCAGTGTTTGACGCCTACTGACTTTTGAATATGAATACATTTAAACCTCGAAATAGACTTGAATGCTAAAATTGGCGCTATATGAACTAGCTTGGAATACTATTCGGGGTGTAAAATAAATTGTTGATTGTTTACCTGCTGCTGCCAGTTGTGCAGTGACTTCGTCCCCCATGGCAGCAGCCATGAGATCAGCATTGGTCTCATAGGCAGAACCAGGTGAAGAAGGGCATTGGTCGTCGTCATCGTCAGACTGTCCGGACATTCCTGAGGGAGAACCCACCACCATGGTAATCTGATCAGCTCCATTGCTCGAACTTCCGTTAGTGTTCATATTAAACTAATAAGGACTTTAACCTAACCATGGAAGAGGTTCTCTAAAAATTAAGTTTGAATTCGTTTTTCGAATATGTTTCTTTGCCTTTGGCTAGTATTTACACGAAATTTCATAATTTTGAATTTATGGCTTCCCGAAACATGCAGTTTAATGAATGTGGTTTGAAACAACTAAAGGAATTTCGAGGAATGATAAATTCGAAATTTGTGTTGCATGTGCTTGGGAACCTTTGGGTTTAGCATGTAGCTTGCGCCTTTTAAGTAATATATGTACGGAGGATATGAAGCCTGAAATGTTTGTAAGGCATAAGTGATTAAATTGGGCATTAAGGCGAAGCGATAAGCATCCAGGGCCTGGGCCAAGTGTCTGGAAAATATTAGCAGTATATATAAATATAAGGAAGGATAATGTTGGACCAGTATGGCAACAAATGCATGTGTTTGCTCTTGGGAATACTGTTTACATGACGCTCACTAAATAGCAATCAAGATATCAGCGAAATATTTAAACTCATTAAAAGCTTTTGATAGTTTAAATGTTCGACTAATGAGTCACAGTGGAAAAATTGGAAAACATGCATAATGATGGAGGCATAAAATCAATATGCTTTTGATTGATGGGCTAGAAATTGGGGCTCTTCACCCGTTTTCGTCCCGCAATATTAGAAAAATGTCCAAAGGCATTTAAACCCAAAATAATGCGTTTGATTTGTATTTTTTGGAAACGCATGCACATGCAACACAAATAGTATGTGCGCACAAAATGGTGGTTTGGCGCCAGTCATTATGAAGGCTGACTAGGCCATGCAAAAATGCAAATATTACGAACAACTGGTTATTCCAACCTTCAACAATGCCATGGTTAAATTCTTCTAAGTTTAGTAGTCAATATATGTCACTCGATGATGTAAAAATGAATAGGAAATATTGAAAAAAACATGATTTTATCAGTTGCATTTCGAGTTGATCAACAACAATGGAGCAGGCTCAGTTAAAATTATTACTACGGCTGCGTACGCACCTGCGTGTATGGTGTACATTTATTAGAAAATCAAGCTTTTGAGCGCAGATTTTGAAAAAATCGGTAAAGAATTTCACTTGGCACTTTCACGGCACTTTGACCAACATTTTCTACCTGGGTAAATATTTGGTGAACACCATGGCGTTTCATTTACGTCACACCACACATAATATTGATCGAACTTGGCGTTGGGTTTTGATTCGCAGCCATATTACCCGAGTTTGCGCAATATTAAGTCTTTACTTAAAGCTTTTTTACTTACCCTACAGCCTTCGGGACTAGAAAAATTGTTTTTTTCACTCTCAAACTGATTCATGTATTCTTCTACAGCATACACGCTATCAACCTATAACCAACACAACATAGAACATCGCTAATTTTAAGAAATTCTTTGATAAGTTTCTGTGCATATGGCCCGGCATCTATGGGCCTTTCGCCCTACTGTGAAATCTCACCCTGTAGAATTCGAACTTTAGCGCGTAAAGCTTACGAATCCCGACCATTTTAAATGTTTTGCCAATGCAAAAGCCTCAAAAAAACTTGTTCGCAACAGAGAAGAAGGCTGGCTTTTGAAAAACGGGCGGAACTAATTCTATAAATGTAAAAACGATTTGCAGTTTCCAGAGAGGACCGATAGATCGCGCCATGAACGGGTGGGCGTGGAGAACAGGACCGGTACAAAAAAATCTTAACTACTACAATTACAGGATCACACTTAGCAAAAGTTACTACAAATTAGCTATTATTACACATAATTACGAAATGTTCATTAGAATTTCTAAGTACAAAAAGCGGTAAAATTCGTATATATTTCGCGTTAAATGCGAAATATATTAGCAGCATCTTAAAAGTTACTTGGTGGAAATTATAATGTATAGTACTTACAATAGAATAACTTATATATGAGAACAATAACTAAGCAAACAACATCCCCATCCATCACCAAGGAAGACATGCGTTACTAGCATATTTATACGTAAGATGGAAAACTGCCGATTATTCCACAAAACTTAACTCAAGCCTATTGCAAAACTCGAATAAATAGTTCTTTAATAATCTGCAAATATTTAACTTACGGAATTAAATTTTATAGATATTTTAAAATAATTTATTTCATTATATATTTCAGATTTATTTCTCCCAAATGGCAATTATTTGTAGTTATTTAACTGTTTATTAAATGTTTATAGCGTATTGCAAAAGCATGTTTGAAAAAATTAATTGCAAACCAAAAAAATTATTGAAAGAAAATCGTATCCCTAATAAAACTGAAAAAAAGTTTTCTTTTGTTGCTAATTTTTCTTAAAATTTAAACATCCACTATTTTGTCCAAGAATATTATTACGAATGCAGAAAATTGCAAAAGTAAGAAGTTTTTAAATTAATTCGCTGGATAAAAGTTCCGAAAAAATTAAAAACAGAAGTTCTTATAAACTAAAATAAATTTAAAAAACTGTATGTGCGCCAGCAATAAAATTGAAAAATTGTATGATTTCGTTGCCAATTTTATCCTAAAATGTCAAGATCCCGTATTTTCTGTTGGAATACTAATTATCAGAATGCATAAATGAAAAAGGTTTTAAATTAATTTGCTGAAAAAGTTCTAGAAATATTAAAACTGTCAAGTCCTTTCGTCCAGCCTTGTGGTCAAGAGAAAAAAATTCAAGATTTATTTCTTTACATGCCGGAACTCCAGTAGACATTAAAAAGCTCGAAATCAAAAAATCTTCTAACTCGCCCGTAAAATATTGGCAGATCATTAAGAAACACCTCGTATGTTGAATTTCTATTTTGAACACGCACGTGAATATTGATTTTGGGACACCTTGTATGTTATAAGCGAAAGTTGCTCGTATTAGTTAAAAAAAATAATCGACAATTTCCATACCATGCTGATGAACCGCGGAAGTATGCAGGCCTTTATATAAGAATTTAAGCCAAATCCCAGCTCCTCCCATTAAAGTTCCAACATTTGTGGCTGCAGCCGATATTGGATCGCCACAGTTCGAATCCATCTCCTTTTGATATTCGAATCCATCTCCTGCCCTACAAAAATAAAAAATAAAAAGTACGATGAATGTTCAAATTAACAAATCGAGTATTAAATTTCTCGAATTTGGAACATCCTGTATCGTTATTATATAGAAATTAATCCACATGCAAATCCTTATTTAAAAATCGCAGTCCCAAAGGGTTTCAGCTGCTCCGCCCATAACTCCTCCCATTAAAGTTCCAAGCATGTGCAGCTGCCGTTACCTACAAAAATTAAAGATAAAAGTTGCGAAAATTTTAAGTTAAAGTACAAATGAAGAAATGGGTTTATATACCTTTGCCTGATTCGAACTTGCAAGTTCAACCAAGTTGCCTACAACTTCTACGACCACTTGGTTGGGCAGAATGAGCAAGTTCTTTAACGCTCTACTGCTTCATTAGTGATTTCCTTGTTCGAACTTGTTCACCACTGGAAGTTCTCTTCTTTATGTATCCTTCTAGCTGATTTGAAGCCCTACTAGATAAGTGCCACTCGTGCCATGTTTAATAGTAAACCTTTTTCTTCTCTAAAATGTGAAGTTTTATCAAAAAACACTAGGGAACTTTTTTGTTGATACTGAATCGAGCTTTACGAAATGCATATTCAAAAACAGAGGGTTGGAACAATAAGAAAGTTACGCCCAATTAAGTTCCAAGAGGTGGGCTTGGTCTACCCCTTGAAGCGAAAAGTTAACCAAATTGACTGCAACTTTCCACTACACTTAACTTTTCAATGATGAATTAACCGAAAAAGTCCAGGCAAATAACAATCCTGGCATACTGAAATCCTTTACGAGTCTAAATAAGGGTCTTTTTAATGGAACTCTAGGGAATAGTGGACAAAATAGCAAATGAAGTGAGACATTAAAATCCCAGCTAACACAGAGTATGGCGGGCAAATGCCGCTACCACAACGGGTCAGAAGGATCAGAAAATGGTCTTACAGCGACATATATGGATAAAACTCAGAAAAACTCACCCGAAATTGGTTTTTGGATCCCAGGAAATGTCCGCTGAACTTCCCTTCTGCACCTGTGTTGCATACCCTGTTTTAAAGGGGCTGCAAAGAAAGCAGGGCCCAAAGAGGCACCGCCCTTGTCCTTTTCTTCGGCTTCTGTTATGTGCTTTTACGGACCAGTGGGAGTGAGAGGAAAGTTGCACACCGAAACAGCTTAGGGGTGGGTTGTCCTACCCCTACCATTGTAGGCCGGGACCTAAGGGTCCATCCACCCCTTTTTTAAGAGGCTCCAAAGTTTCTAAAACCGTAATCCTGGATTGTTCTTCACTGCACTTGATTGGCTCAAACTTTCAGCTACACTCAACTGCTCAAGGAATTAGTGGAGAAGTCCGTAGGGCCCAAGGCGTACCACTTACCCTATGTTCTAAAATGGCCGACACTTTTCTTGTCCATCATTTGGATAGTATTCTTCAATGGAAACCATGGAAATAGTGATGAAACCGAGGACACACAAGGAACGAATGGCCGTGTACTTGATGGTGCAAAAGCACTTGAATTTGATGAGAAAATGTCAATAGGATGATTCTCATTGGTGGAGTTGACTGGAAGCCGGTAGCTGCACTTGCTCAGCAGCTCTGGATCGGAGCGCTAACGCTTTCGCGCAGGTGGCTGTTTAAATGGCCCGCGTTTCTAAGTTATCACTAAGTGGAAAAATGCCTACCGACGCTACCAGCACTTTTACATCGACGTCGTACTGCTCTCTAATGAGCGTCTAGGTGCGTCGTAGGCCAGTGTTGCCATATTTCGTTGCTGTCGAAGATAGAAACCTTGGTGGAAAGCATCTAAAGACCAGAAGATTTGCCTTTGGAGAGGGGCGCAAGACAACAATGAATGTGACACGAACAATTAATATAAATAAACTCTTTCAGAGACTTGAACGGTGTTTAACTGATGAAAATGCGGTTTTATATGGAACTTTTCGGGTAAAATCAGCTAATTATCGCCTACCTGATGCCCGTTTTAGGGCTTTTGCAACAGAATGAAAAATATACAAATCGTTCAAGTCCAGGGAGCATGTAAAAGGGGGACACAACATGGACACAAAATATACACAGTGGGCTTCAGAAAGTGGGGTTGGACACCTGAAAGATTAGGCTAAAAAATCAGCTATTTTGTTTTAGCAAATAACAAAATTTTGAAAAAAAAAAAAACGGGTTCCTTACACGGACTCGACTTGCAAATGAACAAAACTTTGTGATGAAAGATATAAAAATAGTCGCTAGAAGGGGGCAGAACTATCGAAAGCTTGGGGGCTTAAAGTCATTTTTCATTTTTTGTCTGGAACTCTTTAAAACAAATGTCTCGGAAGACGGCAAAAGAGATTCTTCGAACGCCAATCGGTCTGTCTTAAACGGAGGGTTGAGGGTGTCAAACTTCCCCGTTCTTTTCCCAATTTTTTGTGGTTTTTGACAAAGTTTTTATTTTACCCCAAGTTCGTGCTCTTGTTAAACTTCATAATTTACGAATAAAGGCGATTTTAAGTCTTAGTTATTTATGAAAATTTCGTCCTTGGGACAAGTCCTTGAATTGCTCAGCTCCTTGTTTGAGCCATAAGTTGACTACTTAATGTACCAAACCCCTTCCAGAGCCTGCATGTTTTGAAAAGTTCTTCCGATTTTTCAGTGCTATTTCACGTGTGATTTTCCGGTGTTTTGAATACCTTTGGTCCGCTTTGGCTGCCCTGAAAACACTTTCACCGGCCGAAAACTCTTATATCTCTTACCCACAACAAAAAACTTTGGAAACTTATGACGGAGAAAACAGGGCACCCGTCTTATTTTACATTGCTATTTTCTCTATTCTTGTCTATCTTTTCCCCTCCTTATCTTGCGCAAAACCGGTTCTAGAATGCGCGGCGACAAGTCTGGAGAAACTTGTTGCCTTTTTCAAGAAATAGGCGACAAGTTTCATGGCTTTGTCCCCATAAGGGACTATAATTGATCTTCCTCTTTATTTTAGACGGGGCCTTTTTTAATTGGAAGGCTGTTATTTGGAAGCGATTTTGTACGGAATCTTGAGAATTTATTGCGATGCTGGCAACGATGTGCGTGGCTTCATTGAGGACGTGAAGTTTTTTAAGGCGGTATGGGGTTTATTATTTTCAAGCCACCTTCCCCAACCTAAGATTTATAATGGATGTCATCAAAATCGATCAAATGGATTTTGGCTCTATCCATTATAGAACCATGGGATGTTCTGTGTTTAGAACAGTAAATCACTGATTATGCTTTAGAGCATTACTTGGATGCATTTTACGGTAATATCTTAATAATTTCAAGCATTTTGTTAATTACGAAGCAATTACTCTAACTAAAATTGTTGATAATTAAACAATTTAATGCATTTTGAGCTCCAAGGGGAGGAAAGGTCAGGCAATTTTCCCCTAATGTGCAAGAAAATGTCTCAAAAGTCCCCGTTAGCCTTTGAGGCTGGTTCTTGATAACCAGCATTCAACAATGGGTTGTTTAGGTATGGCCTTAACATTTTTTGTAGCACATCCTGTAGAGAGGTCAGTTGTCTGGCGCTGTTGAAATTTTTCACCATGTAGTAGGATATAAAACAGTCGAATTTAACACTGCCAAGCTTTGGTCCGCTGTATTTCGCCAGCATATTCTTCCATTAAAACGACAGAGTATCGCGATGCCGCACCGTCGGTAGTGGCTGTAGATGGGCGGCAGTTTCAATACTTTCAATCAACCGGAGGCTTTGCGAGCGGAAAGTAAGATATCGCTCAAATTGCATCAGATTAATGGCTGCAAATATAAAAACTGGTTCGGTATACAATTGAGCGATATTTGGAGATGGACCGTGCGATGGAGCCCGCTGTTTTGGAATCCAAACTTTCCGAAAGTGAAACTAAGTTTCTATGGGTTTTCGGTTACGGTTCGTTGTGCTACAAGCCTGGATTTGAATTCAATAAAGCCATTTTGGGTTTTGTGAATGGATTTCAAAGAAGGTTTTGGCAAGGGAACGTTACACATAGAGGCACGAAGGAACAGGTATGTTTGACGACAAATAGCATACATTCACTTTATTTTTCCGTATATTATATCGCTTGACGAGTGACACAGTTTTGGCAATTACCGCATAACTTTACTTCTTAATTACTAGAGCCTATAGTGAAATTTCTAGCTGCTTTGATGTACCTATTTGAGAATTTACTGCACATTTTACCCAAGCATTTTTACATTTAAAAAAGCTGTTTTTATTCGCAAAGCGTTTCTGCTATATCAAAACATTTTTTTCCTAAAACCCTTCAGCACTACAAATTCCTTCAATCTAATCCCCAGAAGATTTCTTCAACTGTGTTAATTTTCTCCACAAAACATGTACACTCCTTGATAGTTCTCTTGAAACCAATTTTTCTCGACTGTCCATTCTGCTTGGGGCTGGCATTTTTATTTAATTAAGGTCTTGATAGGCTTGGCCTAAATATCTATCAGCATATTAATTAACAATTAACCCACACACAACGGATTTTCTAGTTATTATTTTTCGACAGTAAATCTGGCTTCAAAGAAATTCAAGATCAATGAAAAAGTGCATATTGAGCCCAGACAATAATTGAAATCAACCCCTGATTATGGCAGCCGCTCGTGTTTAACAAACCTCGTAATCTTCTTACCAGACTGGAAGAATCTCGAAACCAACCAATGACTGTTTGATGTTTGGTCTAAAATCAAAAATTTATTATTGTCCGATAAATTTGTATACGTTTTGATCTTATTGAACTCACCAAATGATACATCTGGACCATTAAACCGACTGCAATTTTCTAATTATATACTAACAGCCACTTAGAGAACAAAAGAACCGCTATTGTGGTGTGAATATTATTTTAATCGGCAAAGTGGCCAGCTGGGCAAAAAGCCGCTCTGATACTTAATACCTATTGATAAATATTATTTAGGCTAAATCGAATGAATCCAAGAAAAAGCACAATCTTGTTCCATTAAAAGTGGTAACACACAGCAAATTCTGCGAAAAAAATTTGCAGAGGCAAGAATTCCATTTACTTTTGTGTTTCTTCATATATCAAATTACCATCCTTTATCTGGTTGCGGCAAAAATATTTTTGAATGGTTATCGAAATTCCCACCTCCTTTTGGTACTGTTTCTATAGTAGTAAATCGTGTTTGTTTTCCTACTGTTCTCAGTATCAATTTTCCTATTGTCTTCGTTTGATGTTGCCCACATGCATGAATCCTATTAAGCACGTGGACTTTTTCATATCATTTCTTTTCGAAGTTTTTCCAAGAATCTGTTCAATGTCTTCTTGAGTCACGTTTACTTTACCGATGTCCTTCGCTTCCTTTCTTCGGTTTCACCATCTTCGCATTTCTTCGCTTCATTTTCTCATAAAAGCCACAAAACCTCAGTCAGCGCCTTTGTGTACAAAGGCCAAAGGAAGAGACTTTAGACGTGCTTTAGACCTTAGATGGTCTAAAACACTTTAATAAGAAAATTGTGATAAATGTAGCAGGTAGACCATAATTCACAGGCGATGGTATTGGACTTACAACAAATGGCTTATAACTGAACAACCCAAATACATTAATATAATTAATTTAGTAATAATTATTATTAAATCTGAGGCACAACTTGAAGCGATATAAACATTTTTAATGGTATTTGCGAATGTACTTAAAGTTATTTTGAATTATTAACTCGAATTTGGCACTTAAATTTTATTTAATTATCCTCTTCATCTAAGAGGTAAGAAGAGAGGTAGAAAGGAAACAGGAAAATCCATCTACTGACTTAAGCAGATTCTGAACTGTAAAGTCTGGTGTTTTCAACCTAGTAATAAAACTTAGACCTACATTCCATTGACGCAAGTTAAAACCCAAAGCGCGTCTCTACAGTAAAAAATTGAGTCTTCCACGTGTGTTATTTGGCAGTATGTTGATTGTAACTTTTCGCTGAAATTATGGGAAACCAATAAGAGAAAGCAACTTTAAATACAAGTAACAAAACCTGCCTCAAACTCAATAGAAATAACAATATCATGGGGCAAATTAGTTACTACAATTATTCGTTAATGCTTGGATAGGTAGATTTAATAACGATAAATTCAAATAGACCGAAATAGTGATGAAATGTTATCATTAGCAAGTTACATATTTTAACACTTTCTCGTCACGTTCGTCAGCGAATTGTAAAAATACGAAATTAACGAAAAGCTGTAATTATAGAACCAGCTTTGTTATGCCCACAAAAATGCTGGCTATAAAAATCAAGCAGTAAAATATATCAGCATATTATTAAGACCCCAAAATGCTAAATCACCAAGCAGTGTTTCCAAGTTTTATTTATTGTACGTTTAATTATAATCAAAAAATGCCGGCGATGTTTGCCAAAACCCATACGTGACTATCACTACGATTTCCTTTGACGTACACCAATAGGAAATATAATTAGACCGTTTGTATGTATTAATTTTAATTTCATGCTAATGATAATATCTCCCAAAGGTATCGATTCTTTGGCGCGAAATATACAGCATAGATGCGAAAAAAAATTAAAAACTAATTAATTAGTGTCTTAAAGTGCCAGACAAGCCTTGATTCACTTGCAAGGTGATTGAAAGTAGTGATTCAAAAATTACTGTAATATGTAATAAACCTTCATTTTTATTTAATTACATTTTACACTGCTGATTTGCGCCTAAAGAGGACAAGTTTGACATAATAATTATCGGAATTGATTTGCAAAGTCCTCAACGAAAATTGAATTTATTAGCTCTATTTAGCAAATTCCATGTGATTATTGTTGTAATTGTTAATAAGCGTTTTTTTTTCAGCCGGGCAGAGTCGCAACGCTAATAGAGGACTCAGATGTAAGTGATCATGGTGCAAAAAAATCACTACACACTCCATATGACGCTCTTATCAAAATCGCAGTATTATCTAGTTCAAAAGTCAACGACTGAATGTTCCTAGACATACTGGCATCATGGATAAAGCAATTTGAACGGAAATACATACCTAGATAGTCATTATTCACGTGTAACACCAGATGCGGCTTTTTAAGTTTATTTCTTATATTATTTTTCTTTGTACATAGAAATTATCATCTAAGGGATTCTTGAATTGAGATCAAAAAAGGTGTTAAATAGATCGTAAAAGAATTATTGGCTATTTAACAAAGGGATTAGGCTAAGGGAATCCAATATATATTGCAAAATGGGGATAGTTGTGAGATGATGCTAGTGGCTAACAATGCGGGAAAATAATTCAAACTTTTACAACCTGGATTAAATTCGTTATTGCTTTCAGTCAATCAGGGAATCTACACTTCATGTGACAATAGATTTTTTCAATATTAAAGAATAGAACAGTCAAGAATATAATTTGATAATCTCATAAGTCCAATAATAACAATATAGCACTAAATTACGGGAATCAAAGGAAATTGAATAGGAGGGATTCTGGAGTATTACAGCAATAAAATAATGATTCCCCAAATCGATCAACAATGAAGCATGCAACTTCAGTCAATTTGGGGTTTTATTTTGTACAATAAAGGGAATCATTCTCTGACGGAGCACTCATCAAAAGGAATGAGTAAACAGCTTATTAGTTTTTTTATTAGATTATTTATTATAGCTGCCCGTCAATATGAAACACTTATATTTTCAAATGTTCAAAGACGATTTATGCTGTCTCAATATTATATCGTAACTAAAAAAACTTATTAAATTGACGTAATTACAAACCTTCACCACAACAAAAAAATAAAACTTTGGTCTTAGAAGGCATTACGCAATTATGGGTTTAATAGTGTATATGTGGTGGAATTCGATACCTAAACGGAAGACTTTTTTGCGTTAAATGAATACTAAATTTCAGGGAGTGGTACATGGAGTAGCATATGCGATCAGTGGAGAAGCTGCGATTCCTTATTTGAATCACCGAGAATGCCAGCAAGGTGGTTACATAGCAAAGATCGTGGATTTTCATTCGGAGAAAGGTCAGTTAGAAATTGCTATACTTATAACCAAATCCAGGTTTTATATTTCTCGGATTCCAGGAGAATGTTTTAAAGTGATGATATACGTAGCATGTCCTGCGAACGAGCATTGGCTTGGTGATAGTGAAATTGATGACATTGCTGGAGAAATAATTAGCTCCAAAGGACCCAGTGGACACAACGTCGAGTATTTAATCCGCCTAGCTGAATTCATGAGGCTCCACTTTCCTGGCAAACATGACGCTCATCTTTTCAGCTTGGAAGATCGGGTATGTCTGCACTTTACTTCAGAATATTACCATACTCTTTATCTTTGTCATAATTCAAAATTGTAATTTTCTTAAATACATTTTTGCGTCAGGTTCTGGCGTTGGTAAAGGAAAACCAGATGTGCCTTGATACATTGATGGGATCCGGAGAAGGATGTATAACGTTTATACGCAGAGCTAATTCAAGGGAAACAAGTCCAACCCAAGACCGAAGAAATGGAAGACAGGATACGTTCGAGGGTACGACAGAGGGTTCTAGCAGCCGTCTTCGCTGCCTTAATATATAAGTATTACTAGAAGATATTTTCTAACATTTTTGTGATCTTGAAGCATTACAGAGGTATATATTAACTTTATTTATACATATTAGTTTCAATTAATTTTATTCCTTTGTCACTTGGCTTTGGAAGAATGCATGGAGTTATAAATTAATAGAGTTTCTAGCTCAGTCATACATCAAATGTGTGATTGTGACTTGTAGGGGTCAAAATTCAATTTTGCGAGATAAGGGTGATATAGGCCATGAAGTAAACACATGCATCTTCTTGAACTAAGTGGAGTTGTATTTAAAATATATGCTCATGACTGATTTCCTTCAAATGTAACTTTCTTGAACCAAATACAATGCCTTCAAAGGCGTACTAAGTAGTTTTCACTTAGATTTTAAGGATCAATTGTGATTTACTTGTAGCATTGTTTTGTTTATAATGCAGTTTGTCGAGCATTTGTGTATATATAAGCGTTCGATTTCACTAATTAGGACATTTTGAAGTCATTCAGCAAAGCTACAATTTCCCAGACCAACTGGCATTATACATTATGTATGTCCATATATCATGAATGTATTACTACTACTGACATAAACTTATATAATAGTACGACTATGTGATACCCATTATTCTATAATATTAATATAAATAATAATAATTCTAATACTCTTATTGAGTTCGTCGCGTTTTGTTCCTGCTATAGATATGGTCGTTTGCCTGAATGTGTTTTTGGCTTTTACAGCATTCGAAAATGTATATATTTGTTTTATTTAACTCTTTTCGGTTCCAACGTAAAAATGACGAGCGACTCCAGTCAGTTAATAATAACCAAATACATTTTATCTTCGATTTGCGTATCACACGGAACATTTTTATTGCTAGCCAGACAAATAAATAATCTGAATGGCTTCGAAGCCTCGACCCAAATTGTGGAAAAATGCTCAGGCTTTTACGTAAAGGCAAAAAATCGTATAAATACTTTTTCTGGGCTGCGCACAACCGAAAACGCTGTTTTTAATTATGCAGTAATGTTTTATTTTATTTTAGTAATAGAATAAAGAATATTAAACAGTAACAAAGCACAGGGTTTGAAAATTCTTAAATTAGTGTTAGGTATAGAGAATCTAAATCTATTCTCGTCGGTTTGAAAAGTCTAAAAATAATACACTAAAGTACATTTAATCATTAAGTGGCCACTTGATTTGGTGGTACTTTGTAAAATAGGTCAATGCTTGTCAAGAGACGAAATTTGAATCGTTAAGTGTTACACATAAGTGGAAGAGTGACAAGCATAAAGACAAAATACAGGTTTACAAATTGATAACAATACAGATATGTTAACGTTCACTGGATGTATTATTTGGTTGTCAATATTAGTGATGAAAATTGATCAAATCCAGACAGTTTTGATAATAGTCTACCGTTGAATAGAAGATCGCTTATCTGTGTAAGCTATTTTTAATAAAGAGAACGTAAAGCTTTTGCTATCGCCAAATATTAAACCGAATTGCCAGATTTTAGTACTGAAGTTAAAAAAAATTGTGAATTGGACGGACTTTGAGTTAATTTTACAGTTTCCAGCGAAAACCGAAAAACTGGCGTTAATATTTTTTCCCCAACCATTTCGAATGAGTGTCGAGAATTACATTTAATTACGCAAATTATTTATATTTTTTTCTCATATCTCAGTATCGGTTGAAAATATCGGAATAATCAGTAGAAGGCTTTTGGTAGAGGGCTTGAAGCACTGTTTACATTTTTTTTCTAATAAGTTAAAAGGTGAAAATATGAACCTTTCCACCATGTATACCGTCGAAAAACGTCAAAGTTTTAGATCTTATTTTTCCGCAACGTCTAGAAACATGAAATAATATTAGAGCCTTGTCGATAGAGCTACAAAGTTGATTTTCATCTGTCTTTGCCTTATGAGGTTTTGTTCAAAAGTTATAACTTCAAAAACTAGATATATAGCTTTTGAAAAGTGTTAAAAAAGTTTTAAACGTTTTCAAATATATAAATGACAAAATGCTTAGGTTGCCTTTATATAGAGAGCTAATTAATGAAAGCGACGGTCCATTTAAATACTCAATCTGGTGTGACAATATTTAATTTATTTACATATTTTAATAATTAATAATTTAAACACATAACTGGAAATGAAAACACATTTCATACTCGTTACTCGGAGCGGCATATAAAAAAGGGTCTAAAAACTTGAGATTTAAAGTAAAAAAAATTATTTGCATTTTTTAGCGAAAAAAACTGAGCTGAAGACGGACCTGTGTTGTTTACCAGTTTCCAAGCATGGACCCTCCACCATTTTTGACATTTTAAGGTTATATTTATGCGTAGAGAATTCCAAATCCTGCCAGACCAAAAATAATTTGGAAAATTCATATTAATTACACAATTCGAAGTGGTATTTTATTTGAATTATGTAAGGGCATATCCTCAAAGGATATAATTAGACACTTGGTAATACTGTGAGCTATCAATTTGTATTCCAAACTTCGCTTAATTCGTCATGAAAGATAATTATGGGAATGACTAATAATTGTTTCTTTAGATTTGTTCAACACCATTGCAAGATCACTTGAATCATACGATTCACCACATTTAGTTCAGAAGTCTGATCCTGCCTGCATAAAATATGTCTTATCCTCCTCCTGCCCAGGGACAGCAGCACGGTGCCTATCCTACTCCATATAACAGTGAGTACCTATTGAAACCTACATGAAACTGTGCTAATTGGTCTTAATTGAATCTCACAAACTCGCCTTTTACCATAAAACGTATTTGCTAAAGGACACCAGAGATTGACCCAAGTATAGGGCGTGTGTTTCTACGAATTGTTACTGCAAATGTTAACTTGGCTTAATAATTAATCATAAAATCATCAACTAGAAAAATGGCATTTTGCTCAGCTCATGAAACTTTCACCCAAAACTCCTTTCCTTAATGTCTGATAGTAGGTTTACTGGGACAGTTTTAATAAACTGGAATCCCGAAAAATCGTGAGGAATTTGTTGTATAATCTTTAATTTTTATTATAAAACTATAATTGCGGACATAATGGAGAACAATTATCGCTTATGAGAGGGTAAAACCGTTTTTTTTATTGAAAAAAGTGCTTTATTCGAGTAATATGAAAATGTCGATTTACTCTTGTAAAAACGCTATAAAAATCGTTCTAAAGCTTATCAGTTCCATTACGATCAATCAGAATAAGCCAAACGTAGTAAATCTACGAGCTAAACTCATTCACTTATTTTATCATTCGACGTTTGTACGAAATATTCAGTCAGTCAAACTAAACATTATGTAAGATGTGTGCAGTTTATCAGTAGTTGCTCATTGAATATTTACCGAAAAATGCAATTTTTCTGTACGAAAAATATTCACATTAGTTCTTATCCTTTATTTCAGATAAATATTCAACTAAATTTAAAATGTTGCTTTGTGAGCCACTTGCATTATTATTACACATTCACGCTCGGTTTCTTGATGTATTGACGGACTGGGAAAATTTAAAGCAGATAAAAACATCACATTGATTCTGATACGTTTATGTTTTTCGATTGTTAGATAATTGTTTGTTTGTTGGTACAACGGATTTTAAATGCTTAGTTTTTTATTTGATATATGTTTTGGTTGTCATTACTTTGGTATGTTGTAGCCGAGAAATGCGTCGTTTTGTTGAGGATTCTAATGAGCCACCGTCATTTATCTAGGCAATTTTTTTTTTTTACTTTTTGAAACACCTCTATCTGTCATTTTTTATTAAGTTTGCATAATGCTGACGTAGGAGGTTTGGAATGAAGCTCAATGTGTCGAGAACGCAAATTTCTTCTTCAAAACAAATGGACCTAAACTGGTCATGATCGGGACAATTCTTTGATGTTCCTGCACGACAACGCAATCCCGACAATACTTATCTAACAACGTTTTGAACAAAAACCACTTGAAATTTGTTCATTTATTTCCAGCTCCTTATCCTCCAGCTCCAAATGCTGGATATGTAACTCCTAATGCGCCAGGTTACGGCCCTCCTCCCGGTTACGGACCGGGACCGCAAGGTTACCCTGTTCCACAAGGCCCATATCCTCCAGGACCTTATGGGCCTCCTGGTTATGGCGGTGGTGCTTCTCCAAGTACTATAGTCAACCAACCAGGGCTGGCTCCTGGAGGTCCTCCTGGTAAGGCACATTGCTTCGTACCTAAAGTGTTTAATCAGCATCATTACAACAGAATTTCATATCTTATTTGAGTAAAATGAAT